GGTTTGCGTGGTAGGCTTAACTGTATTTCAAGTCATTATATTTAAGTACAGGACAAGTATGGATGCAAACAGACATTCATGGGATACCTGGCAGCCTTATTATAAGGGTAAGTAATTTCAACCATAATCACCATAAAAGCTTCAAATTATACATATTATTAATAAGCAACAACCAGGAATTTAACTAGGACAGTCCTGCCATACCTGTTTGAGACTGCAACTGGATCTTGACAAGTTCAATAGGAGTAGCAAATGCTACCTGGACTATACCGGCACCTACACCAGCCATAAACACATTTGTATACCAGTACTTGCTGATGTCACTATTCCCTGGATCATGCCGTTTACAACAATTCTCAAGAGCTCTTAGACAGTTTCCATAAACACCAAAGAATATTGAATTCAATGCACCAGCTGTGAGCAGTGGAAAACCCATACCTTTATAAAATCCATACAGCTGAAAAGAAAACTCATATCTGTTTCATGAAACTCCTGTCCATTTGATGAGCTGTCTACATTTTGTAATATCCTCCACTCTTTACTTATTTTATCTGTCTTGGGTCTCTTAAATGCTGTTTCCACACACCAGTAATTTAGGTTCTTCCATCAAAGTAAACCAAATTTCACAAATGTTTAAAATCTTGTGTTTTGGAAGGTGACAAGATGATCTCAGTTTTTGAACTGCATAATAAATGTGTTGAATTCTTTTCTTCACTAACTTTAATTGTGACCTAAGCAATGCACTTGAACCTATCAATGAATATTTTTTTATTTGGCATTTTGTGTGGGTGTCATTATACTTGCAAGAAAGAGAGGTAAACTCAAAGTTTAATTTAATATGGCATCAACAGACTTGTAAAAAAAAAAGACTCAAAAATTATTTAAATATTCTTGGGAATTTATATATCCTTTGAACTTTTCTTTACATATATAAAGAATGTTCTTTTACATGACCTATCATAAGAAACATTAGGAATCGTGCAACATTTCCAAAAGTTACATATTTGACAAAGAGCCAAGATGTAGACATAACATACAGGCCTAATCACAGCTTGAAAAGGTATGGCTTAATTCATCAAAGTCTGTGTCCAGAATATCCAATAAAATCTTAAAAACAGGTAAGTCTATTTCTTTATCGGTGTGTTCTCTTATAGGAAGTAGACAGCAGTTAACATATCTCAACAAAATACCCTGAGAAACAAAATAGATACTAAAATAAAACACTACTTAATTTGCCAACACAGCATGACATGGTTCCAAAAACTAATATTTTGTTATTTGATTGACTGACTCAGACACATGATTTAAGGAAAAATCTGATGCCTTTTCTTCAAAAACCCTTTTCTCCTTGACACTTACACCTTCATATTTGATTGTTTGGATAGCAATATGTATGCTTCCTGAAGACCGAAATATCTGTTGTCGAACTTTTATTGTATCTGCAGGGTGTCCAATTAATAATCCACATACACCTGTAAGAACGTAGTTTTAGACTTTTAGTACATATCTGTTTGTGTGTATATATATTTTTTTCAGTTTGCTACAGAATTTCATTAAATTCATTTTGAACATCATGCCATTAGAGACTACTCCACATTGTGTGTGTGTAAATTCCCTACATATAGAGTGAAACACAGCAGCTATTTACACTTCTGAAGTTTGATATATATTATTTTATTCATGTACAATTATATGTGTTGGTGATAAGTACCAGTTATGTCTTTAATTTAAATTGCAATATTAACCTTTAATTCACAAAAGAATTTGGAGTGAATTCCAGCCTATTAATGCAGTTACTGACTGAGAACTAGGAGCATGAATATTTAGTTACTTTATGCTATATAATATAATACGTATATAGGCCTGTGGCCTGATGTTGACCAGTTGTTGAAACATCTCAGAAAGATTGTGTATCAAGTTATATGCAGAGAATAAAAATATAATGATAGACAATAAGTTTGCAAGAACGTTTCAAAAAGTGAACAAATAGGATGCAATTATGTTTTAATTACTATTATTTTTATATCCCATGAAAACATTTCCTATCAAAGATTATTACAATTATTCTAAGCACACAGTGTGAATAGAACATCTTACAATTGGCTCATCTAGTTCAAAAAGATAATTTTCTCAAGAAATAAAATTTACATTTTAGTTTGTTTTACCTTATCAGATTTTGGTTTTGCATAAACGAATGAATATAAATTCTATATAATAATTCCTCAACGTGAAAACTTAACTGCAAATTTTTTTATTTATGTTAAGTATGAATTTGCTTTACTGCCAACAGGAGCTACAAGTTTGTTGCTTTAATATACATATTAAAATTATTCTAAATAACTGAAAATTATTTAATGAATACATCCATACCAGCAGCAGATCCTGCTATGAAGTCACACCATGATATTGACATATTTTTTATTTACAAAATGAGTAGAATATGTAACCAAATACGAAGTACATCAGTATGGAGCATCTCTATAGTATGAATAACGCAATGAATGCCAGGTCACAGTGTGACCTTTAAACTCTGTTGGTGGGTTCCATATGGAGGTCATAAACATTTTATTTTTACGTTTCTTTCACATAACATTTGATTTTGTTTAGGCGTCTTTATATACCGTTGGAAGAGCAAGGACAGACATCAAATTGTTAGATGCCATTTTAATACAATTAAAATAATTTGCGTTAAAAATAAACGCAAATCATGTTTGGTTAGTGTACCATAAACTTTGTTCAGACGATGAAAGAAGCAATCGTGGCTACAAACATTGGCAGATTTCCATGGACCTTGTACAATTTCAGAGACTTTCGCCTTCTGTTCCGTCAGTAGATATTAAATGAACAGCGGGCAGTGCCGGAAAACTACTGGACGCAAGAAATAGTTCCTCTTTCTATCAGCAGATGTCGCTAAGACCCAGATGTAATACGTGTTATTGATTTTATGTATTGCTGAAATATGATCGTGGAGAAGGCTAGGGCTCCATGCGAACAAACGTCCCCGCCGATTTTTGAAACTGTACAGCGCAATGGTTGGTCTCTTTTGCAATTTGTTGAACAAATTCTAGGTTGAAAAATAGTTCAAAACTCTCGACCATTTCCTGCACTTCCTTTGCTGCTCCTAAATTGTTCCCTCTGCCTTCTGTAATTTGATATATCTTACCACACATAAATATTCCTAAAGAGCAATTTCTGCTTCATTATCATAGTCATAGCAATTCACTATCATATCACAGGAACGTCATCAAAGGAATTATGTGTCTACTTTAGAATCGACAGAACTTAGATCTGAATTGTTGCATTATAACATGTTTCCGATCTTCGTCCTGCTTGTAGAGGTCGTAGTATCAACTCCATAACAAAATGAGTAATATATTTCGCCTGATCCAGGCAGTAACATAGTTTAATCCTGTAAATATGACTACTTCTATCAATCGTGTGTGTGAATGAGAGATATATCGATTCCTGAAGCCTTTGCATAATCCAAGTTCGATAATCATTTAATAGATGGAACCATTTATCAATCACATTGGAACGTTCCTTTAGGAGAGAAAATTTCGTCACGAGAACTAGAGGGAGGTACAAATACCATGAACTGTGCTATATACTCCGTGGAGTAGACATATGCAATCCGTGGTGCTTTTTGTACAGTTTGGTTGATATTACTCAATGACGTAAAGTAGGTTGGTATATAGTTTATTCAATTTATCTATGGTATAATCCGTGGTGGGTTATCCTTGTAGTGGAGGCATGAAATGAATAGATCGTAGGAAGGAAGGTTAGGTTGTTCTGGACATGGTTACCTAACTGAGGTAGACCGTAAGAGCTGCCTTGTTATGCTAACAGAGAAGAAAATATGGATGTTTATATTATGTGGAGAATAAATTATAAGAAGGCGTGTAATAATGATCGTAAATGTTATTGCAAGTAGTAAACGTTTGCTTATAATGTGATTTGGAATTATATAACGTAGTATTATTATTAACAAGGAATGTTTACAAATTGTACGTTGTTACGTTATATTAGAGTACTTTACAACACCCCATGTAAGAAATGTCGAACTATAACGGTAACGTGAGATGCATATTAATGACAGCGATGTATTTTCGTAACTCAGAAACGTTTGTGAAACAAATAGTACTTTGATTCATTGTGTAATTTTGTCTCATCTGTAGGCATAACTTTGTCTAGCATTTCTTTGGTTTACTAATAAACAATTGCATGTTGCAACTGGAAAATATAAAAGAGTAAACTTTTTGTATTATTACTGTGTTCTGTACTACACAGAATGTTTTAGGAAAGGAGCATGTTAGTACATGAACTGCCTGATCTGTAACAAAGACATAGTGACCTGTGATAAGCAGAAAAGTTATCTGTAGAAAACTTTCTTGTGTGTTTAGAGACAGAATGTCTTAGCTGTATGATTAGACTCCATATTTGGGAGGTGCAGGTAAAATCTTGGCCAGAGACAGGTTTTTTTGATGAATCTAACCAAGACATGTCTGTTACTTAATAGATTTCTCCATGCCCTAGTGTGAATGAAGAATACCTTTTGGGCTGGTCATGTCTGTCTGTCCATCCAAATGAACTTGCTGAAGTTTTGTTTTTGTTTCAGGACTTTCTGCTTCAAAACACTGGCGAGTGGATGCAATACCTGCTATCACTGTGGCAGTTATGTTCTGAGTGAGACTTCACTGAACTCAGCTAACCCTCAATACATATTTTAGCATTAGTATGTAATATAATCTTTATAAAATGCTGTCCAGAAAAAAGGACTTAAGGACAATAAAGGAAGGCGTTGTTGGCAAATATGTAAAGAAGGAAACCCCACCTGAAATGCCAAGTAAGTTATCTGATGTATAATTTAAATTTATACATACTCAGTTTACTAAATTATGCTCCAAAAGGAAAGGAGAAGAATTTTTTAGTTTTTGCATGCAAGACTACCTTAATTTTTTCTTGGTAGACTGACATTGCGCTATCATTGCAGTTATCAATGTGTGGTCAACAGAGCCCACTAGGAAAGGTCATCGCCGAGGAAATCAAACCCCATCACCTAATATGGTATGTGAAGTCACTGCTGTTGTTTAAATAGAGAAAAAGTCCTATTGTAATTAGTGCTATTTTGTGTTATGGAATGGCTTCTAGATGCAAAACTGAATTTAATCTCCTTGAATTGTTTACAGACAGTAGTGCAGCAAACCAGTATCGTACAGAAGTTTGGCAACACCCGAATGACACCAAGTACCTTAGGTGGCCATGAAGGAAAATATACTCCTAGCAGCTCTGTTCCGGACTTGGCACAAAGGTATGTGTGTGTGTGTATAGACGCATACACAAAGTGAAGAGAATTTATATACAACCGCTCTGCAGTGCAATCCCTTTTACAGAATATGCAGCAAATATCTGATGTGTAGTTTTCAAGATATTTATTATCAAATGGGGTGGTATATACCATCCGACAGTGATGCTGTTAGTGCTCCTTCTGCACGAAACGTGTCATTGTGCTCTGTGTACAGTAAGAGTAGTAATCAAAGGGTTATGGAATACACATGCACGTAACCCCAGGTGCCTGTGATAGCTGAGCCGGACGTGTGTCGTGGGAATACGCTCATCATTGTCTGGGATGTCATCCAGATGCTAATATTTTTTTAATTTATTGAAATTAAGCAGTAATGTATGTTTATTTATACCAGATTTGCAAGCTTATCAGTTAGTAGCGGAAGTGAAGCATCCAGCAGCAGTCCACGCCTGACCCATCCGTTATATGGAGGTGGTTTGTCTCCTGCTATGAGTCACACGTACATCAACCAGTATACAGGCTCTGAATACAATTTGGATAAGCTTCAGGTATGTAACTTTGGCTTCTGTGTCATTAGAATGGCAATGTACACATTTTCTGCGATCATAACTTACATGAATTTTTTTGCAGTTACTGTTGTCGTTGCAGCTGCTGCTTATTTGTTTTCAGGGTCCTCAGCTCGGCTCCGGTTATGTTGCCATGCAGGGTGGAGATGAACTTCCACTACATCATGAAATGGGTTACAATGATGTATCAGTGTATCATAACCATGCAGAAGATTATCGTTTATCACCTTATCAACAGGTAATCTTACAAGCAGCGTTTACATGACATTTAGTTTTCACAGTCAGAAAGTAGTGTTTCTATCTAAAGTCCAGCTGAGCACTGTATTCATCATCACTTATAATTAGTGCAGGATACGATAAGTTTAAGCCCAGTGACCTTGCACTTAATCCTCATAGGATATGATGATCATCATCAAGATTTGGATCTTTAGGTCTGTTCGGCATTACTGGTTTGGTTTAACCTCAGCAGGATATACCATGTAATTCAAATTCTCAATTTTGGTTTGACATTTTATTGTAGATGCTTGCTAATCAAAGTTTGTAGGTTTCTGATGATGGTGCATTATAATGTTTGTAATTGTTCTTTTGGACTTTGTCCATTGTCAAATTATGAAATCATTAAACTATCTTTTGGAAGCTAGATCCTGCTTCCATCTTCGTGTAAGAGGACAGAAAGCCTGTCTGTTGGGTCCCCTGGTTGAGCTATCCTCAGTCCTGAATAGACCTGACAGGACATTAAATGTGTTCTGGTTTTGTTTTTTATTTAGGTGTCAGTACCATTTGGTCAACACCTGGTACCTCCCCACTCGCTCCATCACTCCTGCCGCACTCCTCACAATATTCACAGTCTGCCAATGCCAGCTCACCCACCAGCTCATCATCAAGGACAAGGAGAGCAAGCTTCTTCTTCTCAAGGTAAAATTACATCAGTACCAGTTTCTGAATCTTAACTCGCTAACCCTATAAAGCACAGTGGTAACTAAATATACCACCTACTTTAATAATCCGTAACTTTGCCTTTTGCCTTTTATTGTTTCATATGATCCTGAGAGTAAACAGCAATTATCTCCTTAAATGTAACTGAACAGCTTATCTTTGTAATGGGGAAACCTTGTGTTTTCTTTGAGGTACATAGGCCTTGGGTGGGCTCTTTTGAACATGGTTGACTTCCAGATTTTTAGGAGGGACTCTGCTCCACAGAGTTTTCCCCATGGTTTTCATTTCAGGTGCTGGTATTGATCAGGCTGAAGAACTGCCTTTGCCGCCAGGCTGGTCTATTGATTATACTATGCGAGGACGAAAGTATTATATTGACCATAACACAAAGACTACTCACTGGAGCCATCCTCTTGAGAAAGAAGGTCTTCCAACAGGTTGGGAAAGAATAGAATCACCAGAATGTGGAGTGTATTATGTCAAGTGAGTATTTGAAGACCAAGTTTTAGAAATTTACCCAGAGAAAATTGTGTTTGAAAATAAAATCTGCTATAATCATAATCTTTTTGGTTACACACTTCTGGAATGAAGTCTTCGAATATAATATGCTGCATATATATAATCAGTCACTTAATGAAATGTGGTTGGCCACTTTGAATTTTGACGTGTATATTTTATTTATTTATTTTAATGACAATAGCTCAGTGCCCCTGCCAGGTTTTTTTACATCCTGGCCCTGTTCTTGTTGTTTTTGTTCTGTTGTTTGTTTTTGGTGATTTTTATTACATTTTATTGTTCCATCCTGATGGAACTGGATTTTACCTATTCACTTCGTATAGTTGAAATTATTTTAAATGATAGGTATCTGTGCAGTTGAATTGTTTTGTTACTGTTGATGTTAAATTTAACGTACTATCTTATTGGGATAAGTATGAAACTCACAGTGCTGAGGCATGCTTACTTTTTAACCTAAATTGTGTACAGGCATGTATAACCAAAGATGTTGATGCAATGAACACACAAACAATAGGTCAGATTAATGAATCTTGAACTGGAAAGTATGTGGATACTTTTTGCATTTCAGTCACATCACTCGTCAGGCTCAGTATGAACATCCTTGTGCTCCGCATTATATCTATCAGCCAGAGGTGCGGATTCATATGGAGGTTCAGCCACGGGTTCTGGCACCTCCCCCTAGGCACACCCACTTTCATCCTCATAGTGTACTGGTCCCTGCAAATCCGTATTTGAATGAAGGTACGCTTTAAAAACTGTACTTGATGTATGTTGTATTTCAGGAGAAAAGAGGAATCATTATTCTGAGAATCTGAAAGACTTTAATATACTGATGTGCCAGTATAGCGAGGTTCTTTCTTGAAGGATAAATTTAAGTGAAAATTGTAAGGTCTTAGATTGCTTTTGTTTTCATGCAAAGTTAATACCTTATGGGAACCAAAGACACATTAAACGTGATACTTAATAGGTAATTTATGATCAATAAACATGAAAGCATTGGTGTTGGTGTTTATTGAGAAGATGTCAGCGTTACTGGCTAAAAGTTGTCAGGGTGATCAAACATGAGTGCAGTAAACTGTGAAAAGTACAGGTGAAATACACTCGGTGTGGCAAGATATCTATATAGTTATTGAGATGTGTTGGCAAATGTGAGCTGTTGTGTATTACTCTGCACTTGAGAGGTGATGCACAATAGTTTTTTCTGTAAGTAAGCAAGAAACCATGATGCACAAACCCATGAATGGGGAGGAATTGCTATAATGTTATAAAAGGTTTATAAGCAAAATATAATCTTTGTTAAAAATGTCAGTATCCTTTCAAATCGTATTGGCTGCAGTATCATGTGGCTGAGGGATTAACCTTGAAATTGTGATCAATTGTGAATATAGAGTGGTCTCTACGTTTTGTAGTGGGATATGAAGACTAAGAATCGAATGTGGAACGACAACTATTTTTATTTTGAAGTAGATTGATAAAAAATAGGGCATTCATTTGCTACTTCCTGGAATAAAGTGTTCATTGATTCAGTCTAGCTAGTACACCTTAAACATTTTTGCAGCATATACCCACAAAATATGTGCTGTAGCATAAGGCAGCAATTTTCTTTGAATGCTGCTCGGGTCGGACAGATTCATCGATGGAATTCCAAGCAGCAAATGCGTACTCAAGTTTGGGCTGCACAGGGGTGATATACAAAACACAGAGGCCATCAGCAGTGGAGAAAGGGGAAGTGATATAATAAATAAAATCCTGCATTTATGAACCTTTAAATAATCGGAGTATGTAGTCAGTGTGTCCAGCATAACTCCAAGATATTTAATACATTGGAATGTACACACTTTGTAACGGTAAGTGTGAGTTAGTAATATGTTTTTCATGTTATTTCACAGTGATTCCACACTGGTTGACTGTATATTCAAGAGCATCTCAAGACTTAGATCACAAACTTCGTTGGGAAATGTTCAGGTTACCAGAGTTAGATTGTTTTAATGCAATGTTGACACGTTTATATAAACAGGAGCTTGAAGAAATAGTTATGCGCTATGAAGCATACAGGTATGTGTGTGCACATGCTTTGTGCATGTGCACATTTTATTCCGTAGAATTTATTTTAAAAGAATCATTAATATCTGACTGAAGGTAATGGTAAGAATTGTTTTCTTATTTTTTCTTTGGATAACATGATTTTGTTTTAAGTTCATTTCAAGTATAAATTAAATTATAAGGTTAGTCACGCTTTTAAACCCAACCGTAGTATTTGAATAAATGCCTTGAGTTTTGTCCTCAAAATTGGTGTCATGTCACTTAATACATACACTCAAGCTGTTTGAACTTAGAATTAGTTTCATTAACTGTGGAAGAATGAATATTTGGATTTACTGTTGATACGAATCTCTATAAAGTTCTTACATATACCCTCAACACTGAATATCTTTTGGATAACTTTCAACCATAGATGGTACAGAAATATTGAATCAAAGTATGTGTTATGAAATCTTATCATTTTAATATAAATTTTCAGGGCTTCCTTATTTTGTGAAATGGATCACAGATTGACAGCACCCACTCCAGATGAATCAGAAACAGCTACAGACATGTTGAAAGAAGCAGCACTCTCTCAGCACGTGGAGACAAAAGTGTAATTCTTGTACTGAATTTTTGAAGTTAAACACACAGTATGCATCTGGTAGCTGCAAACATTCAGAAGAAAATCTGTAGTCGTGGCTGAATGTGTGCATTACACATGCTGAGGATATGTGCGCCAGTGGGAGTCAGTGCAGGAGTTTCTCTATTTCATTAATTTCACAGTCTGGTGATAAAATACAGCCCCTGTTTAGATATTTGTGGTAGTGTGTTGTTACCAACTTGTGAAATTTCTGATACGTTGAAATTCTTGTTTCTGCTCTGAAAATTGCTTCCTACATACATATTATCTTGTACTGCTTATAATATGCAAAATCACCACTTTTTTATTGTTTGCTTGTCTTTATATCTAAAAAACAACTCATACAAGGACGAAGTGCTTTTATTTGGTATTTGTTGACATTTATTTACATCACGAGAGACAGTTTTGAATGTAATATCATTATGTCCCATTGTGAGTTATTTTTTTAGTGTGACTAATTGTATCTAATGATGTAAATAAAAGCCAACAAATAATGAGTAAAAGTAGTTGATTCTTGTAATATTTGTATACACCACTGCAATGTATGAAGAAATGGTAAGTGTACAAAATATGGTGGAATCACGATTTAAGTAGTTAAGTGCCTGTGACTTATAAGTATGTGAATATTTTACACTTGTAATACACACTTTATATTCTACATTTTAGGTCTAATAATGTGGGTGTTATTTCCTACATGTGATTCAGACCATTCAGCTGTCAGTGGCATAAATACATGACATGCCCACCTCATTCAATGTGACTACATAATACTCCTTTAATCTGTATGATCATTGCTATGGCCAATAACAGAGATGTAGAAATTGAACAACTAACTTAATTGAATACAGAGATCTGATGCAAAATATTTTTTAAAAAATCAGCAAAGCAAATGGATGAAATATGAAAAGTCCTTAATTTCAAGTCAGATTTTGTCTTAAAACACATCTGTATAACCACAAGAAATGCAGCTTATAGAATGAACCATTTCACAGAGCCTACATGGCATATAGTGGGACAGCTTTTAGCTTTTCGTTAGTAGTTTTCTCAAAGAGTACTTGCCAGTAACTGTAAAATTCTAGAATTCATACTAATTTTGCTTCCATAGTTGCTTTGTCTGCTTTCCCCTGTGTCTGTACACACACACAGCTGTGATAAAGGATTTTATTTAAAACTTAATACAGAACATGCCAACTATATTCTTAAAAAAGCGATTCTAGTGGGTAGTAATAATGTTCTGTTGTCGTAAACTTCAGGTTTTATTTAAAGTAGATAGAGCCCAGTTAATCTGCCCCTGTATAATCGGGAGTCTACTGTGCCTTTTGTTATGTTCTGACCACTGCATCATACAGTGGATCTATCTTTAAAATTAGATTTTATCAAAATTTGTAAGTTTTAATTCCTTCTGGTATTCACCTATTGGGAGAAATGGTTTTAATGATATACATATGTGCTGTAAATAGTAAACTCTGGTAAGCTAAGTTTCATGATGTGTCATATCTTACTTGCTTCCTCCTTACAAGTTAGGTGAACAGCCACAAACCCACTCGTTTTAATGTCTTAACTGTAGTTCAGGCTGTGAAGGTGTCTTCAGAAGAACCTTGCAGGAGGGTTGAGAGTTCCTTATGTAGATGCAGTAATTAAATAATGAAGGTTCCATGTATTAACTTTCCATGTGATATATAAATATATATTTTTGGAGGAATAACTTTATACTATATGTGTCATATTTATTATGTAGCTTCCTGCTTAGTACTTGGGGTTGCTGTATATGCTGTACCTGAATTGTTCAGGAATAGGTTTGTCTAACTTTAAATTATGGAATAATCTTGTTTTTTTCTATTCTTTTTCTGTAAAGTGTCATGTGAATATAACACAGGTTCAGTTCCAACAGTCTATTGACAACTTTTACTTCCGTCAAGGAAAACTGAACCCCAGGATAAAAATTTGTTAAGTGAGCATAAATCTGTATTAAAGAAATATAAAAATTATAACATATCGTTGGAAATAAAAATTATTACAAGTTATCAACTTATTTAAAAGATGATTGCTGAATTCGTGCATGCAGTGATAGAGTTGTTGACATTTATATATGCTATACATTAAGTTATATTTGATAAACAAAAGACAGTACACAAAAATAAGCTGTTTTCTGAGAGACTACAAGTCTGTCATACTTTCATCCAAGTAGACCATTCTGTATAACTACCTCCTCATCTTATAAGAACAAAGATCAGCTTATAGAGCTTGTAATATACAATATAAAAATAAGCTTGATCACCAGCAGTAAGTGCTTCCTTGTCATAAAAGATACTGTGCACATATATGATGTTAGTTTCAGATTAAAGGTATATTATTACTAATCAATTATTAAGTGCACCATTCATTTAACTATAACACTTCCCAGACAAAATTCACTTACCTGCATTAGGTACAAGGAAAAAGCCAGAACTTACTGCATGCCCAACATTTTGAACTGAGAATAATATTTAGGGGAAAATGTTTTGTAATTTAAATATTTTATTTATTTAAGTCTACTGAACTACCACATTTAAATGCCAGTATAACTTGAGGGAAGAACAAGGTGTTACAAATAACTTCCCAAGTTTATCTTGCATTCAAATCCATTTACACTTTTTAAGTTCTGTACTGAACTAGCATTAGTGTGAGAATTGTTTTTGGACATATGGACAAATACAAATCATAATATTAACAGTATTATTTTTCCAAGTTGTTTACTTCTTCTTTTCCTTCTTTCAGGTCTTCATTTTCATAATCATAATCATATTCTTTGTGTAGTCCTCTCAACCGAATTACTTTTGCTTTATCTATTTTCAAAGTTCTGGCCCACTGTTGAGCTGTAACAATAATAATATTAAACTTATGTTGCTACAGTATTATGTAACTGAATTTACTGTATTATAAAAGAGCACTGTCTTTAACATAACTCAGTCTGACTTACAGTGCCTTCCTTCCACTTTAAATCAAGACCAATTTAGATGTGCAGCTGTTATGAGCCAATTAATGTATCAGATAAATTCAGAGAGATTACAGGTTTTACCCAGAATGATCAGGGAATTACAACATATGGTTTGTTCTGTAGCTCATTTCACAACTGCAAAGTTTATAGTTTGTAGACTATTAACCAAAACTAGCCATTACTACTCTTCTGTTTAACCTAAGCACAGAGATAATTTATCTTAAACATTTTTATTGTTTAACAAAACCATATTGCATCCTGATATAAGAACCTGGAATACCCATTAATTTAAATCTTACCAGGTGGGATTGAAGCTTCAGCTTCAGATTTATAACCATAATATTTAGCCCAGTCACCACGTCCAGTATAGATCATGTAACATACAAAACCAAATGCATTCCATGCAAGTAGCATATAAGCAACAGATAATGTCTTTTTAACAGTTGCAGCTCTATTAACAGGTATGGGATTTGTATGTCTTCTAATGAAACGCCTAAGCCATTTGAAGTAAAACATTGTAGGCCCACCTGTTAATGAAACATGAATATTGTGAATTATTCCATGCAGTGGAGGCATATATGAGTTTATGTCTAACTTAAATAAAATATACTGTCAGAAGATGAATAGGTATTATTACTATATTCACAACCACCTCCTACCAATTCCTATCCTATAAATTAAGAAGTAAAAGATCAATATTAATGATGAGACAATAAAAACTGTAAAGTAATTAACCCCATGAAGCAGAATCCTTGAGAAGCTGTCACCAAGCCAGTCCATGTAATTCCCTGCCTTTTATGGAACTTGCAGGTTCATTATTGTGTTCACAACAGCCTGCCATCAGTCATCATCCAGAGCAATATGATTCCAGAAATATCATATATTATTTCCTTAAGATGAAATTTAATATTATTCTCCCATATATGCTTGGGTCTTCCAAATGGTGTCTTCATCCAGGGTAAACAACTATAATTTTGTATGCATTACTCATGTGCCCATCTGATCCTCCTTGATGGAGGAAGACGAAATGAGGAAGATATTCAAAATTGTCAAGCATTTTCCATGGGATATTGAGCCCCACAAGTCAGAACTCTCCACCCACAAAAATTACTAATGACAAACAAAACAAATAAAGTTAATCTAAGATCATTTTAATTTAATCTAACATAACCTAGCATTTTTAGTAACATCAGGTCAGTACAATCGCACCTTAACCTCAATATCGTCTATAACAAATGTGCTGCATATTAATTATAATATATGGAAATCCTACCCTATCGTTTATAATATAAAAATATTTGAATGTTTATATATGATCTCACGACATCTCTATTTTCAGATAATGGAAAAGTTTTGCATAATTTTTCACACTTAAAGAAACTTGCAAATAACCATTCATCGTTGGTATACCTGAGTAATCAGCTGACTATAAATGCGATTACAGTATTGCAATTTAAACATGGCGCAGTCTTTATGTTGTGAAATGTCTACATTATTCATACTTTATTTTGTTATACGTATGTTAACGGAGGATATGAAACGAAAGTTCAGAGAGAATTGTGAAACATAAAATGGACAAAATCTGTTACTATCTACGACATGGACTTTGGAGTGTTGTTACAGGGCTTCTTCGTGAAGACGAACCTGTTGATCCACAAAAGAAGGCTTTTGCGGTGCAGTTACTTTGGTCTGCTGCTGGTGACCCTCACAATAAACGGTGATACAGTTTTACTGATAATCTGTATAACATTTGTAGAGTTTCTTGCTCACAAAGATTATTCAATGCCACTTTTGAAACACTAATTTATGGCTGCATTGCACACTTTTCTGCAACATTATTTCTTTATAAACAGCAACGTTAAAGAACCATAAATAACACTTTTTATCCTTGAGCTGCTTAGCAGTGACATGTACTGAATGTTGTTTATAAGTATGCATTCATTGTACAGTAACAGAGGAAGTTATTACTAGGTGCAGATTTTACCAATTTGTATTTGTCAGAGGAATGCCCCTAAGAATATTTTCTGGGAAAGAAACAAATCCAGTTTTTTGTAAGATTTTTCACTGTAAATGGGGATATATTATTTCTGATTACTTTCAGTGAGTATCTCAAATGTCACTATAATTTTGGAGATGAATTATTCCCTCCTGTGTTCATGCACTCTGTACATACTTTAAAAGAAGCTAATTACACAGTTAAACTGAACTGTCGTGACTTATATTTTTAATATAATGAGTTTTACTTTATTTCAGCTTTTCATCTCGAATTGTTAGGTGTCCTTGGCATCAAAGCTGGCTGGCTGTAATACTTATTCAGACCATAAAACCATTTATCATGGATGGAAATATTGTGACAATGAACGAAGTGGAAGTTATGAAGAAAGAAACAGAATTTCAGTGTATTCTATACAGTTTACCAGAAGCTGCATCATACTATAACATTCTTGAGGTGTGTACATAACCAGGTTTCATAGGATAAGTAATTTGTGTAAGTGATCTGCCATCAGTATCATGTTTTTATAAAACTACTATCCTGCTTTGGGCATGTGAGATATATATTTTGGAACTTGAGTGTCTTGCTTAATATCAGAATCACTACAGAATAGTAAAATGTAAGCCATATTACTGCATAATGTAATAGATTTACATGATTTTTGGTTAAAAGGTGTTTCTTAGTAGAATTTCTCAGGATAATATTTTAGCCATTTTCTGTGAAAATAGGTTTCTTAAAAAAATTTATACCTATACAGGTAACCCTCAATTTGCACTGATTTAGAATAACTCCGATTTTGAAACTAGCAAGTCAAGAAGTGAAGAAAATTTATTTTGCTATTATTTATAACGTTTTACAATGTTTCTCATACTGATTCTTATACTAAATTGTAATTCTTACATCGCTGATTTTGGATAAAAATTATAAATACAGTCACCTCTGCAATTATGTATGTATCGTTAATGCTAATTTGCTCCAATGAGATCAATGAATCGGTTAAAGCTGATTGTGAAATGCAAACTTTTGCATATGCGAGTTTGCTCTCATGCAGTTTCATTCCTGGTGCTTTAAACTTTAAAATGGCTAATTTAATCTCTGCGGAGGTACCTGGGTTATTTTTACTACGCGATTTTCTATAGGTCAGCGTCTTATATGAATGCAACTATCGCATTACAGCAGAGATGACTGTACACATCATTCACATGAAAGAATCGTGGTCAATTGCGGGGACCAATGAATTGCCGATTGTAAGTGTATAAAATATATTTTTTAAATTCTTTTATTTTATTTACATTATTTCAGAACTTTAAATGTAATGTCATTATATTACTCGTCAATGTTTGGGTGCCGGGATCGCATGTCATTGACTTCCCATTGATTTACAGTATAAAAAGAGTTTCAATTTACACTGATTCCATTTTCGCCGGTTCGTCCAGGAACATATCCCCGGTGTAAATCGAGGGTTACCTGTACTCATTGCATTTATCATCTGAATAGAAAAGTTTTCACAAGGAAATAATTAGCACTCATTTATATACTAGATTATTATGCATTATCCAAAAAAGGCTCTTATGTATTGCAGCACCATGTAGTCTGATAGAGGTTTATTATGGTAATGAGTACTCATCACCCTGATGATGGAGTCAGCAGGACCTCTGAGGCTTTGGTAAACTTCTACCAACCTACATGGCACTACAGCCCAGAAGACAATCACTTGTTTCATTATAAAATTTCAGATGCTTGGACCTGATGGTCCATATGCTACAACATTGAACAGAAAGCTGTTGTCTTTATACATGCAGCTGCTGTGTTGTGTCACATTCTGCAAAAACTACATTCATCAACAAATGTTTTTATATTTTTTAAGATCTATTATGATTAAAAGTTTTAGATTGTATGATTTTCACTTTTAGAATTAACATACAAAACCAATAATTTTAATTTACTTATCCATTTAGGACTGTTGCATGTAGTTAACATGGCTTGTAAAATTGTAGTTACTGATATTTCTTCTTCTTCTTCCCCAGGAACTGTTTCATCATTATGGTCAGGTTATTAGAGCAGATTGTGTGAAATCTCTGGTACAGGGTCTGTCAGAAGAGACACACAACTTCATACGCAACAGCTTCTTGCTAGACCCAGTGACTACAAATGCCGTAATTCAGCATTTGTTGTGTGTGTGGTGTCCTCATTTCTTGCAAGTAGATTGTGAATTGCAGAACATTTACACCGAAGCTCTTCACTTGTGTATGCTGGAAATGGAGAACAGGAACAGTGGAATGAGTATAAAAACATGTAATTGCTTTAATTTGCAAAATTATAATTAACACATTCTTTGACTTTCCAACACAAAGGTGCCAAGATTTATTGTGCATTGCAAATATTTTAAGACGAACCTTTTCATGGCAAGAAATATTTTCAGAAGGTGCGAGACCTGCTTAGAAGCAGAAGGTTGAGGTTCTTATGTAGATACAGTAAATGTATTTAAATGTGGAGTTAAGAGTCAAAATTAATTACATAATGTAGAATTCTATGGGCCGGGATAGCTCAGTCAGTATAGTGACTAGCTACGGGCTGGATGATCGGGGTTCGATCCCCGACGGGGGCAGAGGATTTTTCCTCTGGCCTCTGCGTCCAGATCAGCTCTGGGGCCCACCCAGCCTCCTCTACAATGGGTACCGGGGTCCTTTCCTGGGGGTAAAGCCGGCCGGGGCGTGATGCTGACCACTAACCCCCATCTAGTGCCGAGGTCAAGAAAGAGAGGAGCTATACCTCCACTCACCCCAAGCGCCTGTATGGCACATAGCGGGACAAACTTTACTTTACCTTTAGAATGCTTAATTTTATATCAAAACATACACTTTAGCATTTGAACTGTTACCTATGGCTGTCATGCCGACCCTCAACATTATATAGAAAATGTAATGTTGGAATCTGCTATTAGAAAGTATGTATGTACATGGATGATAAAATTGTGCAATTACAGTTTATAGTTTCTGTTGGCCTTGCCATGTAAATTAAAGCACCTTAAAGGAGATAGGTATCATAAATTCTTCTTGGACCTACTTGATTTATTGGTTGGTCTTTCTCAACGTTCCGTGGTTATTAATTTTTGTGTAAATTATTTTAGCTCATGTATTAGATGTCTTCGGAGCTCCCATATATGACCAGAGTACGGAAGATCTGTGCAACACACTGCTGTGCATTATTTCTTTGCTTGAAATGTCGGAAGACAAAGAAGAAAATCTTGTTGAACGTTTCTATCCTCGATTGTTGGATGTGTGTGAATCAGGACTTGTTTCACGACAACTCTTGTTTCTGGGTGTTTTATCACGGAGAAAGCTTAAACTGGCAAAACTGCTCATGAAACTGGAAGATGATAGGTATGAGAGACAGAGTACTGTCAGTGATACACTGGGTCTCCAGAAAATCTCTACCAAGTTCTTAGATTCGTTTGGGAATATACAAATTGAAGAAATGTTCCTGCGCCTTGTGAAACAAGAAAAGCATTGGATTGAAGATATTGTGGTAAGTTATAAGTGTTTAGTTGAAATAATCATTTTTTAGTTCTGCTACTTTTAAGTATTACAGTTTTTATTTAAATGTGAAAATTATTACATAAAATACATAGTTGTCTAAAAGTCTGTCTAATATTGATAGGAACAGACTAGTGCTCTTATGTTAACAGTAATGAAGACCACCGAGTATGGTACAGATGACAGTTTAAGTACATACCCAGTATGCAAGTATGTTTTTAAATGGGCACGCCTAATCAGTAAGTGCAACTACCTGAATAGGTGGGCATCCCACAGCAAAGAAAACCATTGAGTTAATATACAGGGAGTTCCTTTGGTTTTGGAAGTTAATGTTAACTCATCGGTGACTGACTGTGACAAGGCAGTTGTGTAAGGTGACAATGAGATGTAGTGAGTGCCTTGTCAGGTCTTTAGCTGATGGCAGAGCACAAACACCTTTCATTATCAAAGGAACTACCTGTACAATTCTTGTGTGTGCTGTGTTTTATTTTTTTAGGATATATGCAGTCACCTCCTGATGTGCGGTAAAACTGAAGCAGTGAAAAAGTTTTTGTTACATCATACAATGAGTAAATTGTGGCCATTCATATTGATTCATGTATGGAAGAATTTCTCTGACAGAGATGAAATATTTGCCGTCTTGAGCTTTCTCCTTGAACAGTGCAAGGTATGTATGTGATGATTATTGTTTTCTTTACTCCTAACCTTTATAATGTCATATTTCAAGAAATAAGCCGCTCATTCAGTCATGGCGTGATGTTTTCCTTCAAGATTTAATAATCTGCTGTTGGAAAAGTTTTGTAATATTAGAACTTGAATGTTCCCATTGGTGCCACAATAATGCATATAAAAGGTGCAAAAATGCCACAGAGGGATGTTTTAAATGGTGTTACATTTTTGAATGATTGGAGGTAACATGATGTTCCCATTGATTTTGTGTTTGAATTAAGATGCTTTAAAGGATCTTAATTTTTTAAAGATTTAACATTATTTTTAACTTACTATGAATTTTTATTCCATAAATTTAATGCAAAACTTCAGCAGCAGAGCTGTAGTAGCAAGTCTGAAGCTCTTTACTACTACTAGTCAGCTATTCATTTAATTTTTAGTTATGAGGAATGCTGAATTTCTCATCAAAGAAAGGTGGTTGTCATAATAACTTAAAACATTTTCAATTTTAAACATGCAGTTCTGTTTTTGTGCTTCAAATCCTGAGGCTCCAAAAGCAAAATTTTGAAAACATGACATTCCAATTATGTATTTGTGTTATATCTTTATTTTAAGAATGCTGTTCGCTCTTCCACCTTATGTATGCATAATCTTAAAACTTTGCATACCGTGTAGTGTATTAGAATATAGAGTTAACAAAACCAACAACTATTAACACTATAATGGACACTATTGCCATACGCGTTTCGACCTTAAGAGGTCATCATCAGTGGACGGTTCTGGAGTTCACAGGTACAGACGACACAACTACAGCTCGCCGAGACTAGCAACGGCCACCGTACAACGGGATCAACAGCTAAGTGCGAGTTTTACTCCTGTGAATAACAGCATCTAGTGCAGTCATCTTGTCAATTACCTTTCATTTTAATTATGAAATTTGCTCGAACCATTTGACTATATGTATTAATTTCCCTGATGCCACTGATGATGACCTCTTGAGGTCGAAACGCGTTTGGCAATAGTGTCCATTATAGTGTTAATAGTTGTTGGTTTTATTCACTCTATATTATGTATGTATATTTGTTGTCCCCTTACTTTCATGTGTTGTGTACTCTGGTTTCACTGCATTTCTGATCTCTTGTACTTGCTGTTGCAGAAGGGCTTGAATGATCCAGTGTTTTCATCCTTATGCTCTGTTGTGGACCAGCAAATATTGGTAGTGAAATGGTGTAAGGATCATGGTCATAGATATTCTTTGAACAACAGAGACTTTCTAGAGCTGACAATGGAACACAGTACCCTAGAGGTGTTGCGGAGAACTGCAGGTTTGGAGGATTTAGAGTTGAATGAAGCCAGGATGTTACTGCTTTCGAATAATGATCAAGGTAATTTTATGAAATTTGCTGAAGCATTTCCAAAGTTTTATTTTTTTATATTAGGTTATCATACTCTAACGCAGAATCAAACTTTCATAAAGTGAAATGTAAGCTTTGTACACATGGACACATCCAAAACTTAGTCAGACTAACAAGACGATATGGAATAATACACAAGTACAAAGTATACAGATGAGTACAATTTAAAATGTTACTAAAGTTTAACAAATGATAAAGATTTAGCGTTATGCTGGCATTAAAAAAATTTGTTTGTTATATGGTGATTGATTGTTATAGAGAAGATCATTACATAAATATTGATGGTATTGCACTTTAATACATATAGAAATGTACATCGCCATATTAATTTTAATACCCTGCATATTGGCAGTGTTTGTAATGTGACAGCAGTGATGTTCTGTATCTACAACATAAAGTACTTAAAACATTTCTTTGTTTAGATGTTTCATTTCATTTCAGGTTTTCCAAATATAAATAAAGTACATGGCACAATAAATGAAGTTGGAAATAATTCTTGGGAGCTCAAAACGTTTGATGGTTTTTGTGTCTTGAGGAAGGCTTTTGCCATTTTTCAAGCATCGGTGGAAATTGAACGTCTGAGTGAGTGAAGCTATTTGTGTAATGAAGTTTGCTGTGGCGCTTTCTTGCCTTTAAGCTGAATATTGTGATGCCATTCTGTGTAACATTTTGTAACATTCTGGTTTTTTATGGTGAGGAGATTTAGCCACTACCCAACCCCCAAGCTGAAGGACCACCAGTGGTCAATTCTCTGTATCTGTTCATTCGTTATATTCACAGCTGCTCTCCATATTTGGAAGCTGTTTATCTCTTCCATTACAGCCTGATGACATACTATGCTCTAGTTAAAAGGGATGATCAAATCAAGGCTTGCATTTAGCATGTGGTGCTTTGCATTACTTATAGAATTAACTTCATAGCATGCCAGAGTCTACAGTATTTACTATGTGGGACTTCATATTGGTAAGTGTTGTCAATTCAACTTATATCAGGTTTTTAACTAACTCTTACTGCCTATACTAGTCCTTGAGGCTGTGAAACACTTTCTAGCAGTGAAGGGAATAAACTGTTATTTGCGACAGATATTTGTAAAAAGGTACTGTTATACATTGCTCCCTTGTCAAAAAATGTGGTTTTACTTAACACTCAAAAATTTTTGCAACAATTTTCTGAGTTCAAAAATTTTGCTAAGCTATTTACAGTTTTCTATATAAAGTGTGTACATTTTCTTACATGCAAATTGTTGCCACAGTTTTGAAAGACATAACCTCAACTTTTGGAAAGGGATTGTTACTGTCTGCATTTAACTTGCTTTATAAGGATAATGATACCTGACTGCTGTGGATGTTTTTGGCTTCCTGTTTAAGACCCCTTACAGATTTACCAAGTTGAAAATATAACCTGAAATCTACCCAAATCTGTAATATTTTCAGGCAAGAAAATGTACAGGTCTAGTTCATTTTCATCAAAAAGTGATGTCTCATTGACATCAACGATTCCTGTTGTGCCAGCTTATTTTATACATAACTATCCATCAGGTATGTGTATTTTATTCATACTTGCTGTCACTGGTTTTGTGTTTTCATTGCTATTTGTGCATTTATTTTAATTTTAAATATTGTAGAAATTTTAATTTTTGTATTTCTGTTTATGTGTAACTTATAATGTAAACTTATAGAATAAATCAGAAGAAGTATGATCATTTTCCACAGTCCTTTGTCTTGTCAACAATATTCTAAAACTTATTTTCCAAGGCATATGATTACTCATAAGCTGTGTTAACAACTCAAGAATTAAAACTCATACTACAAGCGTAATTTTGTCAATCTTTTTATTTAATTAATATTACTGAATAATTTTTAAACCATTTAACAGATTTCCATGGAAGTTGGTATGAATGTTTTGACACAGGGTGCCACCATGGTATTAATTTTTAATTCCTACCTGCAGTAATACTAACATGGCAGCCTGAGTTGGAGAATCTCTAGCACCATTCAATGTTGACATTTTGTTTTGTGGTAGACTGTCTAAGGCAAATGAAATTTTATATGGCAACAGGTCATATTAAAGAAATTATTCATCTTAAGTAATTAATGGTCTTTCGTGAGTTTGAGCCTGGCATTGAGTTTGCACGATTCACTAAATTAATTTTCATTTTAAAGTGCTGAGATACTTTTAAGGTGTAGCATGCCTCATAAGAAAATGGCTTGTGGTTATACTCGCGTTGTTTGAATACTGTCTGGAGCATGGCTTTTTCGTATCAGTATATTTTATCTTTATTTAAGTATAGGATTTGCTAGTATGCAATGTATCAAGACTTTGATGTCATTCCTTGCAGACATATAAATATATTAATATGGTATTTATCAAAATCAGTATATTTCCACAAAGCTGAGCTGTCCTGTGACAAAGTTTTCTCATTTATATTGTGTATTATGCATTATTTTATAATATGTGTCCTTTCCTTCCCACCTTTATTTTGTATTTATTATCTCACTTGGTCTCTGCAGTGGTTGTTTATATCAAGTTGAACGTTGCCTGGGTCTGAGGTTTATTTGGACAGTGAACATCGTATTTGTATGAAGTATCAACCATGGTCACAGACCTACAGAGAATCATATTCATAATTTAAATTTATAGGGAATCCTGTTGTCCATGTATTATACCTGTTCATACATTGCATTCTTAATATAACTACTATTATTCTCTTTCCATTGTACGTTTTTTCCCATTTGTATTTCTGAATGTATTAATTTCATTTTTGTTCGCTTTTGAAGAGTTCATTGTATGTATGATTTCTTTCAGTCATTCTGAGACATCCGTCATTGGAAACAGAACATGGCACTTCAAATCCAGTTACAGTAGAAACATTGTACAAAGACAGAATAACAAAAGAGCTGCAGGAAATTAAAACCATGTTGTGCCACTTGTTCCCTCTAAACTTTAGGTGGGTTGGAAAGTATTTGCCTTAGTTAATCTGCATAAGCATTCAAATTTTAATTCAGACATGTAAGAAAATAGGGTTTAAGATTGTTTTTTTTACAGAATTACATGATGTGTGCGAATTTCCCATGATTGAATAAATGTAAAATATAAGGAAATGGTTAGGCAATAAACAGTTTTTTCTTTAAAGAAACAGTGGAATTGTATTTAAAACATTTCACTTGTCTTGTTTTTTAAACATACTGACTGCGTAATAAATAATTTTATAAGTGTAAGCCACCTTAATAACAGAATACTGTAAAATTGTATTAATTTGAGTTTGTGTGTCTTAACAGGGTTGAAATTCTGGAAAATATATTTTCATTACTATTTTTGAGATATGAGGACCTTCAAGAAGAGGCTTCCTCAGACAGTGGTGCAGATGATGACGATGGGGATCATGAACAAACTCTTCCTGAATCAGAAATTACTTCCAAATTAATTGGCAGTACAGGTTATAAACATTTTAAAGAAACTGAAGTAACTCACAGCATGACCAATTTCCAGCAAATAGGCGATGTATCTTCTTCATTACGGACGATGCCTGTAATTGAAGCTCATGTGTCTGGGTCTCCGTCACAGGAACTTTCAGATATGTTGCCTGCTGAAGCTCAGCATCAGTGTTATCTTCATAAAACATATGACACATCTGCAAATAGTCCTACTACATCTCCTCTACAAGTCATGGAAATGTTATCTCCTTCCAAAATATCTGATGAATCACGTGAAAACATCTCTAGGCAACGAACAGGTACAAAGAAATGTTCATCACCACAGTTGGGTCAGTTTAATAAATTCTCAAGTTTGCCAGCAGGATATGTATCCAATGCCAAACATAGTTCAGTACCAAACATGTACAGTACAGCAAAGGTACACACTGTTCAGTCTGTTCGGTCAGCATCATTATCTTCAGATATGAATTCTGACATTTCACAGTTACATGGAGACATTAATCAGTTTTCAAAGCCACCAGAGCGAAGAAAATCGACAAAAAGCAATTGTTCTGAAAATACTAGTGTTCAAAGTGGAGTGAGCAATATGACAATAAAGGGAACTAATCAGGGATTTATATGTAATCGGTACCTGGTACGTGATTTACTACACTGCCTGAAGGAATGCTTGGTGGAAACAAGTGCTGCATTCTACAGCTCCCTATCTATTCATACTGCAAATTTAAAGAAAGTTGAAGTTGTGTCATCTGTTCAACCAGAATTACTTCAGCAACATATGAACAGGTAAAGACTCCAGCAATGGAGGTTTTAAATCAGTTGAAATAACGTGAGGATGGGAAGTGGAGCTTTGATTTCGCAAAAAATGTGTGTTTGGACTAAAATTACGATAACTTCTGCAATATCTGTCGAATTTTGTACGTAATCCATGTAATATCTCTTGAACATGAATGCTGTTTGCATTACTTTAATAATACATTTACTAGGGTGATGTGTTATGACTCCCGCAGGGTCATTTATGGGCCGTTACAGGTATATTTATATAATCCGAGATCAGTACATAAGTGTTTAGTTGTTTCCACATTTATTCCTGTTTCTCATATTTGTCTTTAAGTTTTCTTGTCATGTATTCAGTACCATAATGATCTTCAGCTCTGCATCATGCTGTATGTGCAAGTTGTGATCTTTCACATCCAAAAATATTTCAACTTTATAACATTATTGAATTCATGCAGGTTTGTGTGCCATCTGATGTATGAAGTGGTACTGCAATCAGGATTTGTCTGTCTGTGAACAAAATCTGTAAGAACACAAGGGAAAGGTGTGCAGTTTGGAGTACAGTTTTATTCTCAGCATATTTTCTTACCTCAGTGCAGATTACACATTGCAGAGTAATAAATGTTCATGTTGACAAAGCTAGCAAATAGCACAATTATTACACTTTGTAGAGACTTGAATTATTTTTATTTTGTGTTTCATTAAGTGTATACCATAATAAAACATGTTTCAAATAAACATTGTAGCACTTAATATGATTTATAGTTTGTCATGTAACAGTTCTTTGGTATGATGAAAACTGATAGTTAAATTTTTGTGACATGTTAAAATTGAGTTATATTGGGCCAGATCTGACTGAAATTAAGTTTTTCCAACATCTTATATTGTAGACCAAGTTTCTTCAATAACTGTTGTGTTATTTTGTAGGCGAGAAGTGGATGGACCTCACAATGCTCCCATTGTTCTTACATCAATTGCATTTGATGCAAAGATCACGTTACAAATGCCATTGTTCATATATCTGATGAAAAAATTTGGATTGAAAAGTGTTTTACATGATCATTTTTTGTCTGCCGTAGACTCTCTGTGTGTGTAAGTGAAGCTGCATGGCGGCTGCAGCTTTTCACAGACGCAGAATTTGCGCAGCAAATTGGTCACATCTCTGTTCCGGAGCGCATTTCAAGTGTCAGTGACACGGAGGACGACTGGCTGTACCACAGTGAGGAGAGTGAGAGCGAAGATGAAAAGGAGGCTGGAGGACCTTCTGCTTCCATCTGTGGTGTAGGATGCGGCAAGGCACAGAAACCAGCAAGCAAGAGATCAAGGTCTGAGACTGAGAAGTCAAGTGAATCTGGTTCACAGTCCAACAAGTCAAGAGGTTGGTACTGGTAGAATTTCATAAATTATGTAACAGTACAGAGCTGACAAGTTTCTAAAATATTTTAACAATAAATCATTCATCATCATAAAATCATGTTTGGGATGTTCTTTCTCTGAGGTGTATTTGAAAAAGGAGACATTTTGAGGGCTGAATCTGTGATCAGTTTCCTGACTACCACATGAAAATTTAATTGGAAAAGTAGTGAGAGAATATATTTTCGAATTGGCAGTTGTGAATGAGACTTTACATGAAAGTTATGATAATGGAGTTTGTAGGTTGTTTCAAGTCGTGTGTAATTTGCTACTGAATGGTACATGATACAGGATTCTGAACACGTTGCCAGAAAGAGGAGACAGTACTAAACAGCACTTTTCTGTAATATCTGTGAAGGGAGAAACTACTACAATTGGTTGGGGTTATGTTACATTTTTAGGTGGCGCTGTGACATCGGCATCAAGTCATCACAAGGTGCGCTGGAATAAGTGTATGCTGAAACACGGTTCTTTTCTTTCATTACCAACTGGAATTATCAACTTGATGTTATCATCGCAGAGTAGTTTGGCTGTGAGGTGTCTCATTTATGGAGAACTTCCCAAAGCAAAGCAAGTCATTAAGGTCAGTGATTCTTTCAACCATGCATGTACTGCTTCAAATGTTTTTCTTCACTTTAGATCAGTTTTCTTTTTCCCCTGGAGTTCTTTTGACCTCAAAAATTTATAATCTAATTTCAAATAAAAGCTTTAGATTGTGAATTCATAAAAGAACGTCCATAATTTGAGAGCATTCAAAATATTTAACTCCCATTCAGTGCTATTGAACCAGAAGTAAAGTAGAATGAAACCCAGTCTAGGACTGCTTTGTGATAAATTTGTCTTTGAAGTAATCCTTTCAAAGTACAAGTTTCATATAATGATTAAATTATGTGATGGTACCAGATTTTTTTCCCATTTTCATACAAAATTGCCCTAGTAGATCTTGCAAACGATTCAAAGATATATTACCATTTAAGACCATAATTCAAAAATATTTAAGATTTATAATAATGGGAACAACAGTAACAAGCAACAGTTGGTGAAGTCTGGAGGTTTCGTACGGTGCATTACAATCTGTAAAAGTGGTGTTTTGGAATTTGTCCTTCTTCTATATTTCAGTAAAATTACATTTCAGAAACTGGGTCTTCTTCTGTCTTCAGGTAAAGAAGAAGGGGAAGGATAGGACCCTAGATGTTGGGCCCCCTGGTTGTGCTAGCCTCTGACCTGGACTGCCATTTCTTGGTCCAGGCACTCCTACTTTGAATCTGTCCAGATCTGAGGCTAGTTCCCCCTGGGGGCCCAACATCTAGGGTTCTGTCATTCCCTGTTTTCTTTACCTGAAGACAGAAGAAGATCCAGTTTCTGAAATGTAATTTGACTGAAATATAGAAGATGGACTAATTCCAAAACACCACTTTTACAGATTAGAACAACAGTTTGGTTCATAATGAAATTAACATAATTAACATAAGAATAAATACAGGGAAGTTCAGTTATTGTTTTTTGACAAACTGTTATGATGCTTTACAGAGTCTTTCACATATTTAGCTGTGAAACTGACATTAGACCTGAAGAAGGCAGCAGCAAGTTGCTCCAAATTCTGTAATTGATATTTTTATAACACATATGGTACCAAGAAGTCTCTGCAGTGAATCCAGACTGCAATGAAAACCTAAGACCTTACGTGCTTTCGAAAGCACTAAAAAAATTAAGATGTATGCAAATGTCCAGGAAAATATTTGTACTCAACAGAGATGAAGTGTAATGAATCTCGTTAACCTTTCACATGTTTAAATGAAATATTACAGTTTTGAAATTTATAAATAATATTTTTATCTAAATTATTGTAATATTTTCTCCTAATTTTACAGTTAAATTGTGATCTGTAACATGAAAAACACATTATCCTATATCATAGTGTATATTCTTATGCTTCTTGGATATAAAGTAGAAGGTCATCGTAAGCTTTAGTTTCATAAACTGTTGGATCGTGTTGTTTCTCTATTCCGTCTACAACTGAAACTCCAGGTGGATTAGAAGATAAGTACTTCTTAGCATCATTTATAATTCTGTTAGGCCAGCAGAACTTACAGCGAAAGCAACAGCAGCACAGTCCTGTGATCAATAACAACAATGACAAAAATATTAGTAGTACAACAATAATGATGTTATTATTGTTGTCACTTGGGCTGATAAGCCAGGCCTGTACTAGTTGAACTGAATGAGCCACAGCCTTGAAAACTCTAGTATTCAAAACATGGCCATTTTTTTTATTGAGAGAGAAGCAGTGTCAGAACTGATTACTAAAATGTTGCTCTTTAGTGGACAATGAAAGTTTGCAAAACAGCCAATTATTGAAGAGTGCTTAATTAGGATAAATACATAGTCAAGATTCATAAGAGAGTGTCTGGAATATTAGTTTATGGCAGCAGCCAACTTTTTATAGTTGTAAAAAAGACACATTTTTCTGCTAGGAGCAAAACTTGTCACGATTAAGCATATTCATTTGGCATCACGAATCAAATATGAATAGATTTGAATAACCTAAATTATTCTTACAAAATTTAATTTTCATCATTATACTTCTGAAACTGGAAGATTTTGCTGCTTAGAAAGAAGGGTGATTGGGTAAGGACGCACTCGGTTTGCATCAAGGACCAGTCAGTAATGGCATAAATAATTTTTGCTGTGAGTCACTTGTTCTTGTTGTGTCCTAGGTCTGACAAACAAGCACTGCACGCTGCTATTTCATATTTTGAATAAAATTATGAACACTAAATAGAAGGGTAAAATATTTTGCTTACCAAATTTGCACCAACAGGGTACAGCAATTGCAATATATATCAACAGTAATATGCCCAGACCCATTATGATTCTCTTTGTGAGTTGTACTTTGTCCAGTTCTGTATTTGATTTTATGAAGTCATCCCATAAACAGTTAATTGATTTAATTCCAAAGATTCTGTTCTCTTCCATGCTGCAGTTTTTTGTTTCTTCAAAGTCTGTAGTTTCAAAAATGGCGTCTCCATATGCGTCATGTAAACCATTTTTTGTGTAGTTGAAGCTTGTGTTATGTAGTGCATTCTCTATTTCATTGTAGTACTCATTGTTGAACCTCTCATAATCATATTCTTCAGGTGGTTCCAGAGTGCCTGGCTTTGATAATGTCTCTAGCTGTTCTTTGTTATCTTCGTTTGTGGAGCGCTTGTCAACTTTTTGGTCTTGAATACTTTTATTTATAAATTCGTCATTTTTCTTTAGGTTTGTTCCCAGTGTCATCTTTCTGAAAATAAGTTTTATAATAGTAACAGTATTAATATTGATTTATTTCGAAGTTATTTAAAACTTTTGTGTTAACACTAGAGGTTATTTAATGTTACATGAGACGAGAGTGTGAGTAAGTAAGGTGTAGTGGGAAGGATTAGTGAGGAAGTGATTGAGGCTAGTTTCAAGTAACATTTCATCTTTTATTTGAGGGAGAAAATGCAGTGAAGGAACCATACGATATTCAGCACTTCAGACGAAACTTAACCTCGACTTGAACGTGAATCTGTTTTCTGTTTCTTTTGCTGGAGATATACTTCTGTGATACAATTTTGCAATTATATTTTACTAGACTGCAGTATTTTATCTTGTCCTTTATCTACTGCACACCACAGCTTATTCACAATCCTCCTGGCCATGCATCGCACTAGTATACCACAAAACTCCTAGCCGGCACCCCTCAGCCCTTTATTTTGGTGTTTTATACTCATATGATTAAGGTTAAATCACGTATGATAAGTTCTTGGGAGGAAGGTATGATGCCTCTTTTCCTTCAGATGGTTCAGTCTTTTTAATGAGATTAGCACAAATTGTAAGTATTATTCGGTTGTCATTTGTACAAAATCAGTGGCTTGACTGTTGTCATATATAAGGGGCATTGACCCTGTTACCTTAGTTATTCATGTATAACAGGCACCCTTATGCTTTGATTGGAAAATTAAAAATTAAAGTATTCACGTATTACACTCTTCAAAATAATAATATGTAGGTAGACAAAACAAAAAGAGGTTATGTGATATGATATGTCTGAAAATTAATTATTCTTTGTTGCTGGTGGTATTTTGTAATGAAACTGGATGCACTTGTGTTTTAAACAGTCAGATGGTGGGGAAATTGTTGGTGGCTTTTCTTTGAAAGAAACAGAAAACTCAAAATTTGGAATTAGAAATCATTGATACACTCTGTGCCTGCACACGTCTTCTGATTTGTTGGGAAAACTCTCAAAAGGAAACATTTCCACCAGGAATTATTATGAGAGTTCAAAAACAAGGGTGGATTGCTTAGGAATTTATCCTCCAATGGTCGAACGTGGTGTGGAAAAGGCCTCTAGGAGCTATGCCAGGTTTAGACATCCCTGGACATATTACAAAAAGAGCGAAAGCAAAAGTTGACGATGAAGAGCCTATCTTTGTGTAATCCCGGGTAGCAGGTAACCTCTGAATGTCGTTCTTAATCGGCCATTCAAGGTCGCTTTACGGCAACGAAGCATGAACTGAGGTCTAACGCTGGAATTCGTTATAAATTACATAGACAGTGAAAGTGAGAATAATGATAATAGTGATGATAGCAGAGCTGGTAGTGATAGTGAATGACACATGTTCTCGAATTGTTGATGACCCAATTTAAATCAAACTGCTGACAAATGTTAAGTTTGAAATTGTATCTGATTACATTCTACTATGCGCAAAAAACAGCCAGTTCCATCCCACCTTTAAATATATGTTTCGTACACGCACCTTGATTTTAAGAACGAATACTTTAAAAATAATGCGTGTAATACACGAGTAAATACGGGTAAACTACATTCTAATATTCTGTTCTTCAGATCAAATTAGCAGATTTTGCGTTATGTCTCTATAACATACCTTCTCATTACGTACTAAATAGGAGTTTATTGATCACACTCATATAACATTAGTTCTGATACCTTATTTTCAGTGATGAGTCCTCCATGTCATACGATTCTTCTGGTGTTGGAATCTTTACTTTTTCTTCCAGGGAAGATGGACTTTCCTTTTGTTTGAATTTCTTGAGCAGAAGATCTAAATTTTCGTTATCCGTGATTAAATGCGAAGAGGCTGTGTCGTCTTCCTTCAGCATTTCCTCATCATCATCTTCTGAAAATGAAGCATCAGCAGAAAGGACGAAATTCTCATGATGTGTTATATCTGCTTTATAAGACGGAAGCCAAAAGCTTAAAACGTTATGTTGCAGCAATAACATGATTATGTACAACTTCATTACCATTGTGGTTGCTAATGAACAGAAATCAACTTTCTTACGTTCTTTATGTGTGTTTGCGTTTGTTTGTGCATTGTTTAACAAACAGTTTTAACAACAATGGCAAGCTAACGCTTGGCCTTCTGAATGTTTGTAAACACTGCTCGGTATATTTTCTTCTAGGATTGGGATATTTTTGTTACCAACCCCTGTTTTTTTCGTACATTTTGATTGATAGTATCTGGCAGCTTTTGACATTGGTTATTATTGGCTACTGAAATAACTAGAATAAATATTGGCTTTGTTTATTTTAAATGTGATTTAAGCCAGTTTTTAAAGATTTTAGACAACATAACCCCAACAATAATGTATTCATTTACTTGTATCATCAGATTGATTTATTTGGTTTTTCCGTTATTGGGTACTCAGTTAAGACTGTATTTTTATTATCGTCTTCTTTCTAGGTATTCGTCAGTTCATTAATTTTAATTAAACACATTTGCATAAATAATTGCACATACATTCAAACTGTACTTTTATTATTTCAGAAATATAGCAATTATATCATATTCGCTAAGGATGATCAAGGAAGAAAGAAGCTGTTACCAGGGTCACTCAGTAGATATTTACCTATGCTATGACAAACTCTTGTCGCAATATCACTAGTATGTAGCAAACCTGTGAGCGGAATCCAGAACCAGTTCATTCTTGTGAACACCCTCAAAATATATTTCTTAAAAGTTAATTTTTATAATGAACTCCCATCTACCTTCCCATTGGTATATAATTTTTAGAACCACCTGTTTTTGCAATATGAAACAAGATGTATAACAAAGATAATATTTGGAAATTTTGCTATTTATAGGGTATTATAAATTTTCATATTACTTCATATCTCTTGGGTCAAATTTTTTTTGCTTAGCTCCTTGTTTCAAAGCATTTGCATTTAGCTCATTAAAGACCAGAAGTAGGGTAGGAACTTCAGTAATTATTAAGGGAATGTTTGTGTTTGAATGTAATTGAAACAGTTTCACTAATGATGATTTATGATTGTAGATGTTTGAAGAGAATGATAATCCACTTGCTTTGGAAGTGACGTTTATAGAAGCTTACCAGACTCTGCTGAACAAGTTAAGATACTATGTTGAAAGCAGCCAAACAGATTCACAACAAACAGTGATGTCAGTGCCACCAGGAAAGAAGACATCTACTTTGGAAGTCAGTGATAAGTGTGTTAATATTTGTGTGTAATACTCTACACAGTAGACTCTCAGTTATTCTTAGAATTGCCTTCCATGCCAGGTTAAATGTAAGGAAGTGAAAGAAACTTTGGATGACTATGCAGCATTATAAATTATTAATGTAAAACTGAAAACAAGGGCCTTGTCTCCTGTCTTTTATCATGTAACCATTATTTTTGCTTCATCCTAGTGTTTTCTTACCGCAGAGTATAAAGAAAGCAGCAAGGGCTGGAATGCAGTCTACTTCATTGACGAATCAAATAGAGACATTTTTATCCGTCACGCCTATTCCTGACATACAGGGAGCTGATAAAGTTGTAACAGGTTTGTTCCACCCTTTACATTACAGTTCTTATGAAGCCGTAGTTATATTGTTTTGTAGGTGTCGGGGAATATCCATCTAAGAATAAAGTGTGAAAATTATACAAGTTCCACGATATTTTTGCATAAAAATAATTTGTTAAGTAGAACAAAAAATGTAAGAATTATTTTTCATCTAAAGTGATGTTTAATGTTTTTAATTGTGGCTATAATTCAACCTTAATTTTCCTTCTCCAGTATTAATCAAGTAGTCAATAAACTGACAATTTTGAAAGCTGAATGTTTCATGGTATGTGTTATATTTCATTAATTTAATTTTCCATTTAATTTTATTGACATAGACATGTTTGGTTAGAAGAATGTGAATTGTCATGAATTAAATATGAATTAAAATAATTTGTCTACTAGATACTAATAAGCCATCAGATGTTTCTTTGGTAAATTAACCAATTAATGGGAACATATCTTGAAACTAAAATGTTATCTAATTTAGTAGTGACTTTTATGTTTAACAGATAATTTGAAGTCTGCAAGTAGTTGAAGAATTAAGAGCACTTTGCAGTTAGACCGTAAGATAGAGACGTTGGAAAATGCTATTGGTACTATAATTATCACTGTGATTAAAAATTAAGAATTGTGTATAACATTCCAAGCTAAATTTTGTACCTGGAGAAGAATATTGAGTAGTGCAAGGTTTTGAGCCTTAATTACTTGACTGAATAAAATAACCAGTGATAAAGGAATTAATTAATTGGCCTGCTTACAATCATTCTGTAGACTAGCGGATAACCATATGCAATTTTATTTCTTGTTAGAGTATCCTCATGAAGCTGCCATGCTGGAGGGTGTTGAAAATTCTGCTGCAATGACAGCACTAGACTTGGCACTAACCGTCGGCGCGACGTACGAGCATTCGGCAAGTCTGTTGGATGCGGCGTGTAAACGCTGCGATGTCCTACGGAAGGTTCAAAGCTCTGCAGATGCAGACAGCACAAAAAGTCGAAACAGACACGTTGTTCCAGGTTATATCTGGTTCACAAGGCGCATAATCAAACTTTTGAAAGAGGCAAACAAATCTCAGTCTTCCAGCAACATTTTTTCTTCCACTACTTCCCTCTGTGATCTTCTCAGCTCAGAATACCTTCCATTGTCACTGAAAACGATGAAGGATCATATTACATTCTGGAACAGTTTGCATGATGTGGTAGTTGAATTTCAGGAAACTGTAGACACCGCACTGAGTGGTTCCTCATCACGTGTGGGAGTTGCTTCCATGTCCAGTGATGGCTGCACTGTGAAATCACATGTTGTTTTCAGGAGACTACTGAAGATTTGCAAAGGTAAAATAAAATGGCATCACATATTTATTTAAACTTGATCCTCACGCTGTGCGTGAACTAGCGTTCGTACCACGTGTTCTGTACCTCTCTAGTACATGATATTCCATGACTGGTAGGAAATCTTCCATTAAATTATTTCCTGTTACACAACCCAAAGATTTATTCTTAATTTTTCCTCTCATGATTGAGTTCACATCCTAATTTCCTAATAGTCATTTCAATATTATCCTTTCATTTACATTTTTACAATTCTAAGAGATCTCATTCAATGAGGTCTTGCAACCAAAATGTTTTTTGTATGCTGTTCTTGTTTCTACTGTTCGTTCTACCTTCTTGACTTAAATGCTCTTAAGAATTAATTGAATGATTCCATTAGCTGATATTTTCAGTAATTTTTCTTTTGTTTGGTGGGGGGGATTGTATAAAGTAACTAATTCACTCTGATTGTAATTGTCTCCTCCTCTTGGCGTATCTACCTTCACCACTAGATTCTGTAGACTAGCGGATAACCATATGCAATTTTATTTCTTGTTAGAGTATCCTCATGAAGCTGCCATGCTGGAGGGTGTTGAAAATTCTGCTGCAATGACAGCACTAGACTTGGCACTAACCGTCGGCGCGACGTACGAGCATTCGGCAAGTCTGTTGGATGCGGCGTGTAAACGCTGCGATGTCCTACGGAAGGTTCAAAGCTCTGCAGATGCAGACAGCACAAAAAGTCGAAACAGACACGTTGTTCCAGGTTATATCTGGTTCACAAGGCGCATAATCAAACTTTTGAAAGAGGCAAACAAATCTCAGTCTTCCAGCAACATTTTTTCTTCCACTACTTCCCTCTGTGATCTTCTCAGCTCAGAATACCTTCCATTGTCACTGAAAACGATGAAGGATCATATTACATTCTGGAACAGTTTGCATGATGTGGTAGTTGAATTTCAGGAAACTGTAGACACCGCACTGAGTGGTTCCTCATCACGTGTGGGAGTTGCTTCCATGTCCAGTGATGGCTGCACTGTGAAATCACATGTTGTTTTCAGGAGACTACTGAAGATTTGCAAAGGTAAAATAAAATGGCATCACATATTTATTTAAACTTGATCCTCACGCTGTGCGTGAACTAGCGTTCGTACCACGTGTTCTGTACCTCTCTAGTACATGATATTCCATGACTGGTAGGAAATCTTCCATTAAATTATTTCCTGTTACACAACCCAAAGATTTATTCTTAATTTTTCCTCTCATGATTGAGTTCACATCCTAATTTCCTAATAGTCATTTCAATATTATCCTTTCATTTACATTTTTACAATTCTAAGAGATCTCATTCAATGAGGTCTTGCAACCAAAATGTTTTTTGTATGCTGTTCTTGTTTCTACTGTTCGTTCTACCTTCTTGACTTAAATGCTCTTAAGAATTAATTGAATGATTCCATTAGCTGATATTTTCAGTAATTTTTCTTTTGTTTGGTGGGGGGGATTGTATAAAGTAACTAATTCACTCTGATTGTAATTGTCTCCTCCTCTTGGCGTATCTACCTTCACCACTAGGAGAAGGAATTGGACTTAACCCTAGAACTGCTAAAGGGGCAGAGAGGATCCTTTGGGCACAATACATTTGTAAAAATTGCTAAAACATTTTAATTCTCTGATGATCTATGTATAACAAGAAAAGAAAATTGGTCTTATATTGAGCTTCTGGACCGTTAGATAAATTGTAAATATTAGATTCATTAGGTAAATAAATGGGTCTAAATGCTATAAAAATCTTTTGATTTAGATGTTTTATTAAAATTACCATGGGTAAAAAAATATTCTGCATAGAGAGTTGATGTTTAAGTTAAATGACGGCTCTTGGAATGACTTACCACAATTATTTGGCTCAATCATGTTCTGTCGACCGGGGTTTGTTGATGTTTCCATTTTGTTCTAATTGGCCATGAGGAAAGAAAGGTTTAATTCTAGGATTGATGTGCAACATGCTGTTTGTAACTGTTATGTTGTAAGTTATTTTATCACAAGTAATTATTATTTGTAGGCCGACCAGTTGATGAAAGAACCAGTGGAAATTACATAGACTATCTTCAACAAGTGTATACATATCTCAAGTTGGTCACATCTTTACTTCAGCAGAATCATCCCTCAGAAACAGGTATAAATTTATTTTAAGTTTTCCATATTTGTTCAGTGCCATGTTATATTTTTAAGATCTTAATTTAAATTAATTTAAATCAAAGAGCTATTATAAATATTTGTGTATGGGTGAGAGAAAGTGACAAGGAATAGCGAGTGTTCCTGAATGAGGAATGTATCTCTTAGGCTCACCAGGGTAATTATTTTAATTTATTTTAAGCAAAATGTGTATAGCTCAGGTGAGAGAAGGGGAAGGGAGAATGGTTTTGTTCTGAAACTTACAGAAATTGGTAGTAGTGATGTGGTTTGGATTAAACTGATCATGATACAGTCCAGGTATTGGCATTCTATACTAAAACCTGCTGTTTTAGTATAGAAAAATGTATTACCATTTGGAGTCACTAGCTAGACTCTTAAGTTTCAAAACAGTTTCAATACTGTGAAAGGACGTCTGTGTCTGCAGCTCAGATACGGTTATTAATTACTGGTGCATCATTATTTATTATTTATTTTAGTGTTCTGTCTGACGACAGGTCCATATATTATGAACAGGATCCTTCCATCCTCTTCAGGTTGTCAGGGACCTGCTGATACATATATACATTCTTGGCAGATGATCCAGAAGTGGTTTGCCATTGCCTTCTTCTGTGTGTGAATGGAGTAATTGTTGGGATGTCACAGAGAAACCGGGGAAGCCCCCGTAGGAAAACTCCTTGTTGCCTGGACCACGGCCTTGCCCAACACAAGTTATAAATTCGGGCACCACCGGGAATCGAACCCGAGACCCCAGGATTACAAGGCCAGCGTTCTAACCACTAGACCACCGTGGCATCATACAAAAAGAATAAGATCAGTGGGAAAGGTTGGGGCATGATTTGTAGGACCCATTCTTTCTTCAGTAAGGAAACTGAATGTTACGTTGTATAAATGACAACTTCTCTGCAGGAATTCTGATCTCTCTGCTTATGTTCTACGTATTCTCACAGTTTTCCTTCAACAGCTACTGGCCTTTATTAATATCCATCACCCTTCCTGACTTCACTTTGATAAATTCTTCTCAAGTATTCCATTATCAAATTTCTTACTTACCAACTGATATGGTATGATATACGTTTTATGTATGTTTGATGTTGGTTATGTCCGCTGTTTTTTTTTTTTTTTTCTCTTTTAAGCGTAACAAAAACATGTTGTCATGTTTTATTTCAGCGCAACATTGTGGACTGGCAAGACCTGTGAAATATTTTGATCTTTTTAACAGTAGCCTGATGGTATTACTGGGTCAGCTGGTGTTTGAATGTGATGTTTCTCCGTCATACTTGGAGCCTGTAGCCAAGAAGTTGAAACTGAATCTAGTGTACAACGTTATCAGCAATTGTTGCCCAAAAATTCCTAATTCACTTTTAAGTGATACACCAAATTTTAAAAGTGGATGTGAGCTGAACTGGGGAAGGATTGTCTTAAATGCTTCAGGAGTAAGTATATAGAAGTAAATTTCATTTATGTGCGTCTTATCCTTATTGCTGGCATCCCAAGTTGGTCCACCATAAACTTTAAGACGTGGCACACATCACTTCCCGTAACATTGCTTTGTGATCGTCATATTGGGTTGTAACACAGAACGATTGTCGGTAAACTCTTGAAGGATGACCTTGTAATGTTCATAAATTTTCTAATCAAAGAATTTGGTGATATTTCAGATTCTCATGTTTGTCAGTATGAAGATGTCTGAGTATATTTTGGGATGTTGTGCTGTATAGTCTGGTAGAAGTTTACTGATGTTTCAGAGGTACTTGCAACCCCCATCAGCAGGGTGTCATTACCTTGATGATGGAGATATTACCAGATTACATGGTGCAACATCCCAGAAGATAGTCATCTTGCCTTGCACAGATAAATGAATACTGTTTCAGAGCCAAAATGCAGGAGAATATTAACAAAAGGTGCTTCAAACAATTTATTATTAATGTTATTGGCATTTGTTTATTATCCATACAGCAGTGGAGTGGACCAATTCGACATCCAGAAGTTGCTGTCAGATCTTTGCTGGTTGATGTTCTTCGCACAGTTCAAGAACAGAGTGAAAGTTTTATGGACAAAGACAAAAATATTTTAAATCAGCTACATTTATGTGCTTTGGCTGAAAATCTTACTGTGAAGACTATTTTGGCAGACACATGTGAACTCGGTGTAATCGATCTAGACCTTCTTGTGCCGGGTGATGAAACCCTTGCGTTTTATACCAATTTGGCTAATCTTATGTGGATTCACAGCCTTCTGTTCTTAGAAGCAAGTCCTCCTCAGTCCACAGATCTTTCAGTCCTATTAGAAAGGATGAAAGATCGTAGTGTTGTGAGCGCTTCTGTTTCTGATCAGTGTTGGACTACAAACTTTGGCCTCGTTTCTTCACACTCGTTGGAAAGACAAGTTGCTCGGATGAGCATTGGTTACAATGTTGGAAAACTAGGTTTTATTTCACTTCAAGAACTTTATAAGCAGTTGCAGGGTGAATTGACTTTCCCATCTGCGTCGTCGTTAAAGAATTGTTCTTTTCTGGGAAAAGTTCTAAGGGGTAATACCTTCTTGTTAGATTCGTCATCAGTTGATCCTAGAGTTTTATTTGTGTTGCTAAACGGACAAAAGCAGTCGCCAAAAATACAGGTATGTATATGTTTCATGTTGTAGATTATGTGATCCTGCACACAGATCTTTGACATATTTGCTTACAGAAACAGCAGTTTGAATCTTGATACATCTTTATAAATCATGTGTCACACAGACAGAAGAAAACGCACGTCCGTCTTTTCAGCTGCGTGCAAAAGACAAAGTTACAAAATTATACGTGAAATTACATGAGAAATTTAACAATTTGTTTTTGTGACTTCGTATTAGAGTAACTAAAACGAAGGAGAGAAAAATAGGTAGAGAGAATGTGAACAGGATTGAATTGGCTCAAGTTAGTGATAGCAGCAGCAGCGTACACTGGCAATTACAAGTATGGTGTCTTGTTTATTTTTTGTTATTTCTTCATGGTGCTGTAATTTTATTAGCCATCACATGTAGATGTTTTACTTTTTGTTTTTTTCAAATAATTTCTTAGAAATGCCATAAAACCTGAAGCAGTTGTCTTATTCATGGGCATGTGGTCGTTGGATAAATGTGGTAATATGGTTTAAAAGTTCAGTCTGTCATCTGTGATTTTGAACTAAGATCCAAGTAAGTTTTCTTGTAAATTGAAGTATATAGATTTCAGGTTTTCTATTCTGATATGTACATTCCATTTATTTATGCGTTTTCAAGGTGTTGTTTGCTGAAAGTGTGGACGTTCAGTTAGACGGAAGCATGACAGAATTCTTGGACCACAGCGTGAAATTTGATAGTAAATCTCAACAGTTGGTCATTCCTGAACTACTACACTTCTATCTGGACTATGTGCAGCTGAATCAGGAACCAGAGAGCCACTCTGCTGTTCCGGCCTTCACGAGTATGTACTCACCGGATCACATTTGCATATTCATCCTCTCCTATATCAGTAGTTTTGTACTTTAGGATTATCTAACAAAGAGTAGGTCAGAATCATTACCACTTGACCCAAATTTCTGCATTATTTTAATTATTATTACGGTATTTTTACGTACGGAAAGTTATGTGAGAATTTTTTTGATAGAATTGTGTGTTCACTAATCAAATTGTAACATTGATATTCTACATGCCAGATGTGAAGACACCCCACCATTTTTATGTAGAACAAGATGATGATCAAATAAGCACTTTCTACAGCAGAGAGCGACTTACTCAGCTGGTTGATTTCCTACGTGATAATACCAGCGGACAGCTGCAGATTGAGATTACCAAGTTTGCTAGTGCTCTTTCAGACCCACAGACACACACTCCAGGTAAGGTTCATTTTTTTGTTTCAGATACAATTTGATAGAATGCTGACATGAATCGTTATTCCATGTGGTTATGTTTTTCCTGCAATACTGGGTCAGTATCCAGTGCAGTTTCACAAATATAATTGAGCAATTTCCACAAGGCTTTATTTGTATCCCCTGTTGTTTTCTGTCATATCTTTCTAACATCATCTTATTTCTTTATCTCCTGTTCTTTCCATGTTCTTCTTTGCCCTAATTTTAGGATGTGATGGTACCTAAACATTTTTGGTCTGTGTAAAATTTTTCTTAAATATTCTATTTCTGTCTCTGAGTATGCATCTTTCTCTCATTGTCTTTTCTAAGGAGTTAGGAATTCTTTGTCTGTGGTCTGTGTCAGATTTGCAGAACAAGCCGAGAATAAAACGTTTGTATGCATAATTATCTTTCTTTCTGTCACTTCCAGGGACAATTGTGAAAGTAGAGAAGTTTATGAATGAGTTCAGCATCTTGCTGGATTATAGTAGATTTGAAGATGGTACCAGTGTTACTGCTGTCAAGTCCAATGAAAATTGTGATTTTTCTGAAGATACGTGGAAACACAGAGTAGTTCAAGATTCTGTTCTAAAATTCTTGGAGTGCCACTGTTGGATGTTATCAGTGTTGGTGCGAAGGGTTCATCAGGAAAAGGCTCTTCATGCTTCACCAGTAAATGAAACTCCATCACATAAAATGATTGACGAGAGGATTAAGTGCCTTGAACAGCTGTTCAGATCAAAGTGGGTGGATGTATTAAAGCCAGTTTTTCAGAATAACCTAATTGTTGCCGCACTGCATTCAAAACCTGATATGACAGAGCTCTGGTGTTTGCTTGATCAGCTCGTAAAGAAGCGAGAATGGCGGCAGTGTGCTGAGATATTGTGGGCACTTCCTGAAACAGAACTGCAGAATGACCCAAAACTACAAACATTTCATGATGTAGTCATGTATGAACTAGCCTCGAAATTACCAGATGAAGGTAAAGTACTTTTATTAATGAGAATGAATGTTGTGTAGTAGATGTCATTAAACAACACAAGGTGACACATTTTATCCTCTCCTTTCTTACCTTCTGTTACAGTTAATCTTAATCATAATATCCTGTGTCTACCTGTTATTCTTATTTGCAGAATGATCTGTGACCTTTTTTCTTCTGCTGTGAAAATAAATTCAGTTAACTAACTGGCTTCATGGTGCAGAGTCCTTGAGAATCTAATAGTATGCTCAGCTGGTCACATTGTCTTTCAGAAATTTACTCTTTTTTCCTAAAAGTTTCCCTGATTTTTCATTTAGGATTAATGTATATGTAAGAAATGTATGTATGTAATGCGTATAATATAGGCAATGATGAATGATTGTTGCCAGGAAGGTTCAGTCCGTGGTGGTACTGTCAGCATATAGGAGATTTGTCTGTCCAGGCACAGTGCTTGTTACTGCATCTACCTCGGTGGCCAGGTCGAGGATGTCGGGATGCTCTCAAGGTCGTGTTGGGGCATCACCATCAGAAACTTTCTACAGAACTTAAATTACAGCTGCAAGAGATGCTGCATAAAATAACCATCTATGAAAAGGTAGTACATTTTTCAAGTACCATTCTCCTTAAATTTGGCTTATATTAAATTAATATTCAGAACCACAATTTTAAATGTAACTACCATATTTGTGTCCTTTTTTCTTCATTTAATTTGTTAAAAATAAACGTGCCAATGTATGTTTAGAGCAGTAATATGAGAAGTGGTATGAATGATTTTGATGCTTTCAAATTAATATACAGATTGTGCCCTTTGCTGAATCTGCTGGTATGAACACTTGGTTTGATGTCAGCTGTACATCAGAGAAAAATCCTGGTCTCATTCTGGAGCTCTTGATGGAAGCTAAGGAAGTAAGGAATAAATATATTTTATAACATTATTTATCAGTTGATGTATTATTTATTTAATAAAATTAAATTCTCTTGAAAAATTAAAAACTCTGATTGTTTACAGCTGTTGATTGATACTTAGTTTCAGATTTGCCTTGAGTGGGCAAAATTACAAAACATTGCCACACGAGCACAGCACCTTGTTGACTTCAAGTTTCTTCTCCTTTTCTTGGAGCATGATTCTTCAGATTTCTCATCTGCTACAAAGGTAAAATACATTTCTTTTCATTACATCTGAAAGGAGGTACAAAAATCATGAATGAAATTAACATATTCACTATATTTTTCCTTTAGAAAGTAGGATAATTTGTGATTTATTGACTGGAGGAAGTTATTTACTTCATTTGAGACTTTATTAAATGCTCATACAAATTTTTATAGAACTCAAGTTGGTTACAGACGTCATTAAGGGGAGAGACAGATGCACAGACGTGATGGTACAGAAAGCCTTATGAAATGAGGAAAGTAGGAAAGATGGAAATGACAGGGTTTTTTTAATGCAACTTATGTGCCCAACATTTATTTCATAGCAAATCAAATATACAGGCATGAAAAACTGGTGAAGTGGAATAGTCATGTAAGAATCTTAGCTAAAAGTATCAGTGTTTATAAAGCATCTGGGATTTTTTTTTTTTAAATTTCTCTCATTTAAAATCAGAAATAAGTCATGTCCTCCTCTTTCTCTGTACTCTTCATATTTTGATTTATTTTTAAGGTAGTAAATAAAATCTTTGCTTCTTTATAAGAAGGACTTTCTTAAGCAAAATACAATTTATATTCACTTAAGTCCTTATTGAGCACCATAAAGTGGATTCTGTGAGAAGATGAATTCTGATACACCAAATAATTATTTAAGAGTTGGGAACATTTTGATTGCTGTACTGAAAGAATAAGATGATTAGTGTTTAAAACTGGAATATAAGCATCATTTAAATTTACTCTATTGGGACAAAGATTCAAAAGTGATTTATCTAAAGAATTATCTATTTAATTGTTGTTATGTGTAGGCATTGTTAACATTCACATTAACTCAACTGTTACATTACCTTTTTTTTTTCTCTTTCAGCTGTTGGAGTCTTTACCAATCCATCAAACTGTTGCCATCTGTAATGAACTTATTCAACAACTAAGATCAGTTTTATGTCTGAAGTTTATAACCACATTTATCGTGAATTCTTGTTCTTCATATTTATCCTCTGAACAATTAGATGACTACCAAAACTTATCTATAGGCATTCAAATGATGGCGGTTATACCATATGTAGATCAGGTCCATCACTGGGACCTGATTTGGAAACCACATTTGATTGTGGAGCAGTTCATCATGAACACACGACTGGAGATGTTAGAAAAAATGATTTCAGAAGTTTGCCCGCTCTTAGCTCGGCTTCCTGCTACTTCTCCAGTGTCTTTGAGCAGTATTGACACCATGCTAAGGCACTACGCCAGCAAAGCTCTGGATTTCAGAGTTGTTCGGAATCCAGCACCTTGTCAATCTTTTCCTTATGAGGAGAAACTATTAGTTTCTCTGTCATTAGGATCTACGCACAGTAAGGAGTTTTTAATGCCAGCAGTAGTTCCATCAAAGAATGAATGGGTGCCAAATGATGAGGTATTGTGCTGTTCTTTTTTATTCTTTAATTAAACTTGGAGTATATCCACCATTTGTAAACTGGAGATGATGGTAGAAGAAAAATATTGTCACTAGATTTCTGCTGATTGTAACTGAAGATGGTTGTCTTCTGGGTTGCAGCACCATGTAGCCTGGTAGAAGTTTGCCTACATTTTGGAGATACTTGCTGCCTCCATCATCAGTGTAATGAGCCCTGATGATGAAGGCAGCAAGGACTCACCGCCATGAAAACCTCAAATCCGGCTGTATTTTACCTGTTCTTAGCTGATCTAGCCATTCCTGAATTGTGCAGAAGACACTCATAAATGGACATCACCTTTGACATTACAGTAGGTTTTGATTGAATAAAAATTGTTTTCAATGTGTGTGGGGGAGTAGTATACAGCCAGATGTTTGTAATAAATTGTGTAACTAGACATTCACAAAAAAAAAAATTACGCTGATTTTGATAATACAGATGGAGTTGGTGCTTTGTTCCCAGATTACTGAATGCATGTGTTGCCAGTCTGTGGCTTTTTCTATGTTTAATCGACGACATCACTGCAGGAGATGTGGTCGTGTTATCTGCGGATCATGTTCCACTCAAAGGATGAAGGTAATGGCTTGTTAAATCTGTGTATCATGTTAAATTATGGTTGTTATTTCAAGAGCTTTATACAAGATTTGATGAAGTTTTATGTAAATTGTTTATGAAGGGTTTGAATTTGATTATGTAACATGACTGTTTACTATTTTAGAAGAATGACAATTTAATGTGGGTAACGGTTAGGTAGATATTCGGTTTGATATCATTAAATTTATATATTCTACAAACTAATGTTGCTGTAACCATTCCGTTGTTCAAACATCTGCGAGATATACTTATTTCTATAATAAAGTGCAGTACGTTTTTTACCAGCGCAACTATTGCTTATTGCAATTTATAAAACCCTCTGGGTTTACAAATTTGTATTTGATAGTACCATCAATTAAACAACAGTATTTTTAAACTTAAGTTTTTACTGCTTTTTCTGCTTAAAAACTGTATTTTTCTCTTAATTTATAGGTTGTGGGGTATGGCACTGTAGCAGTTAGGGTATGTGATGATTGTCATTGTGAGGTGGAAAATGATTCAGAACAGGTGACAAGTCTCACATTAGGTGACGATCAGCTTCCATTCTCACTGAATTTCGAAGATTCAGTAAATTCTACTTTGACGTGGAAGCTGACATCAGACGAAGCCTACAATACTACCCTTCGAGAAGAATTTGGCTTTGAGCATGCACCAAGTGTTTCTCTCTGCTTGGCTATTCTTAAGCTTCATTCAGAACACGTGGCATATCCGAGGTTAGTAATAGCAGTTAGAATGTCACAGCAGCTATTTGCTTTTGCTGCATTCATGAAAACAAATTTGTTTTGGCCAGCTTGTTTATTAATGAGAAAAATTGCCTTGCTTGTGTTCAGTTGTAAATAATATTTTGATGTGAATGTTCAGAAACATATTTACATACTGAGCTTATTCAGGGTATGCAGAAGGAAAGCAATGTAAAAATAGGGGCAAAACTTAACGTCATCATTCCATGAAGTCAATATGTATCTTGTGCAGAGGCAGACTCATAATTTTGCCAGTTTGGGTGTAGTGGATTTACAGTGGAATGGAGTTTTGCAATTAAATTTTGTGTGATAATCAAACGCTGATACCGTGTGTCACCACTCTCACATTGCACCCTTGAAAGCATGGGAATTGGAATTTCCTGTATACTTTGAAATTCTCCAGTAAAGAACTGTCCCTGCTAGCTGCCTGTAGCGCTACGTATAGTGCCTTGGGGGGAGAATTCGGTTGTTACTAGGGATCTGTGGTATAAATGATGGCATTGCGAGTCCAAGCAGTTGCAGTAAGCGAAGGTGCTGCTGTAACCAACAGTGAAAACAGATATGATGACCCTTGAGCTGGTGAAAATGTAACTTTGATGAACACTCAGAAGTCATTCGGGACTGTGTTCTGATTTTGTTATGAATTTCCACACTGATTTTTGACACAAAATTCCAAATAATGAAATCATAGAAAGTAAAACTTGGAGTCATTTGCATTTTGTATTCTTCAGGTTTCTGTTGGATGCTTGTCATCAAATGCTGCGACTCTTGCAACCAGTGGGCCCAAGCATGGCAAATCCTGAAGTGGACTACAGCCTCGTCATAAGGATGGTTAGGTACGTGAGTCTGTGCATCATTGTGATTTAGTGATACATTTCAGAATAGCCTCTAGGTTGAAATATTAATGTGTACCCAGTTCAAATTTTGGCCAGAGTTCATAAAAGTTGGGTGGGGGGGAAGAGAGAATTCTCCAGATGTGATGAATGTGTCTTTTGTCAGTCACTGCACAGAAACTGTAACATTAAACTTTATTTATTAGACTTCATAGACTTAATATCAGAAGATGAGGCACTCATAGTGGCAAATATCAATATGACTGTGTTCTGGAATGTTGCACCATGCAGTCTGGTAGAAGTTTGCCAATGATTACTGATTGCCCTGATGATTGAGGCAGCAAGCACCTCTGAAACTTTGGTAAACTTCTGTCTGACAGCATGGCACAGCAGCATAGAAAACAAGTCACTTTGATATCACTACATTGTTTAGCACAACAATTTTATTTGTTTTAATATTCATAGGTCTCTTGTTGTGGCTGCTAAGGTGAAGCATGCTAGATCTGGCCTGAACACTGGAGTTGCTCATTGTGACCAACTGTTGAGTCAGGTGGACCTGCTCAACATGCTGGTGAAAAGTGGTTGCTCTGCCCTTATCCCAGCAGAACCCCTGAATGGCCATGCATTGCGGCGCCTGCGCGATCGCTTGGTGGAAGAGGAGCTCTGGATGCTTGCCATGGAGGTGTCTACAAAGAGTGGCCTTGAGCGGACTGGAGTGTGGGCAGCGTGGGGCAAAGCATGTTTAAGGGCAGGCTGTTGGGATGAGGCACGTGATAAGTTTTCCCATTGCCTTGAAAAAGTGGCGCTCGGACCGGACTCGGCCCGTCCTCTTCGAAGCCCGCCGTTGCTCATGGAGATAGTGCAGATATTGGAGGAGGGGGCATACACAGTAGATCGCAAGGTGATACAGGAAGCTGATAAGATTCGAGCTTCAAGCACTGTACCTGCTGCACTTCTCTCATCACCAGCCCTAACTGTACTTCATACCTTGTCATCACTGAAGGAAATTGCTCATGGGAATTATCCCCAAGCAACACCACCATTGAACCCTCTTGTGATCGGTCCAAAATTAGATCCCTTATTTTATGAAGAGTGTTGTTATTATCTTTCATCATATGGGAGTCATGCGGGAATCATCAGTTTCTACCTCAGTCATGATGATCTGTTAGCAGCTTTGAAACATGTTCTCTCACAGAAAGTGGATCCAGAGATATTTCTTGAAATGATATACATACCCTGTTTACGCCAAGGTCTCGTCTCAGATCTGTATCATGAGCTATCAACTGTTGATCCAACACTTGGAGTATGGAAGGTATGTGGCATATTAGATGTCTGAATTTTATCTTGCTTAGAAAGTTTAAAATAACTATTTTAGACCTGACATTTTATCATCATAAGTATATTAACAAGAGTGAAATAAATGTTTAAATTTTATTTAAGAGAAATTATGTTCTGTATTTATTGATCGCTTTGAATTGAAAGATATACTTTCGTGGCTTCAGTTTTAATTATGCTGTATTTACAGGTGTACTTGTGCCACATATGTCGTTATTTTGAGAAACAAGGCTTGTTAAATCTGCTGTACCAGTTACAGCTTCATATGCTTGATCATGTTCGAGCAGCAATGACTTGCATACGATTCTATCAGAAGGGAGCAAGAAGCTACAGCGACTTGGCTGCTAATCTAGGGCATCTCCATGCAGCTCAGAGCCACTTAGAAAATGAACTTTTAACAGCTCAGTGGGGACCCAGCACAAGATCTTCACCAGGTATGTCATTTCTTATTATACCATAATGCCACTGTAATGCTTCTTGGTTTGAAATTCTACGTACTCTTAAGCCATTAAATTGCCTTCATTTAAGGTTTTCTTTAGTATGCTGTTCAGATGCAATTTACATTTATCACGAATGGGAGATTTCACTTTATCCCTATGCAGTCTTTTTACAAAGTCTGTAATGGACACACGATGGGGAGGTTGTGTCCATCCATCCACATGTCTTTCTTACAAAAATATCATAACATTATATGGCAATGAACTTAGTAATACTTGATTAACTGTTTCAGTAAGGACAATGGATGGTACTTTGCAGTTGGCAATGAAGCTGGATCCAAAGGAAGTGAATCACCATTTAAGTACTATCTTGCGACAAGTGGAGGTGACGAAGTTCTTGCACAGTTGTGAGATAGAACAGCGTCATGTCATAGAATTAATACCAGAATTGCTTAAAACTTTGCAATCAAGTGCGGTCCCTAGCGCCAAACGTACGTTACCTTCAGTTCCAACATTATTTGGATCCAACATGGAACGTGTGCAGCTTGCAGTGTTAGCTATTCTTTGTGGGAAAAATGTTGAGGAAGGTTTTGGCCTAGCTTTCAGGTAGGTAAAGCAGCTTTCTACAATTTGGTTTGAGATCAGTATGATATGAGAGAGACAAATTCATCATCAAAAAGGAATTTTTTTGGCCATCGTGACACGTCTTTAACTTTTTCATTCATAGAGTTGTTATTTCACTTTAATTTCTCGGCTACGTTTCCGTCCTAATTGATGTTCCAATTTTTCTTTGCTCATACGCGTGGTTGCCATTGTGTGTGCATGCACACTTGCACAGATGACACCACCATTTCTTCATGCTTTTGGGTGCTATAGTGGAATAAATAATCTGTAAAAATCTCTGAAGTACAGAAGGACAAAATCTAATGAGGATTTGAGAAATTTATCACAGTTAATTGGTATGTGAATCACATGAACAGTTACAGGACTGAAAAACGAAGGAGCACAGTGTCAGATACAGCAACTGAAGACTGAAATTGTCTGGAAGCAAAGGATGAAATAGTTAATTATGCTAAAAATATGTGTTTTAATTTGAAATTAGATGTTAAAATGGAACAATTTGATGAAATTCATGGGTTCTAATTAAAAGAGTAGGTACTCTGATTTTCAGGTTTCTTACATACAAAATCATGTATATTCTTTATTCAAGGATTATTGAGGACTACCGTTTGAAATCGTCAGAGATTTACAGCTTAGCAGGGAAGAAGTTGGCATGTGACTATCGCCTCACAGATATAGAGCAGCTCATATCTTGCATCCAGAACTCAGGAGTGCCTGATACCAGTTCTGTATGTGACAGTGTTCTTGTCCTGTGTGTGCAAGTCCTGGCTGAGAAACAGGAGCCAGTAGATGTGGAGCCTTTGGTCAGATTAATTGTTGATACAGGAAACAAGGTGAGTTATGGCAGCAGAACCTGCAGGTCCAGCACTGAACCTTGACACCGGACATGATCCTGAGCCAGCTCCATCCACTTACCTTCCTCACAGTCCACCTCCGTAAGATCTGTCTGTGACCATTATAATATGTCATGCAATCCATTCTGTGTTTAGTAACTTTGACCCACGACACTTTCACTGTGTAGATATTGCATTGCTTTAAATATATGCATTTTTAACTTAGGTTTTTCTGAGACATTATACAGTAGTTAATTGTTAACAGGTGTCAGCATACATCAAGTGCCGACAGTTGAAGACTGCATACTTACTGGCAGTGAAATACAGTCGTCTGGAAGATGTGCGCAGAATACTGCATGAAGCTGAGAAACTTGGACAAATGAAAATACAACAGATTTGCCTCAAAAGATTGGGTCAGAAGCAAACTGAAACATGAGAACTTCTGAATTAATGTCTTGCGTAACTCTGCATTGTGCACGTTGATATGTTTATGTGTGTGTGCATACATGAAATGTAGTGTTTTATAAAGTTGTCTTTTAAACAATTTGCAATAGAGTCTCAATTATCTGACCTGAATGGGACGAAAGGACAGTCAGAAAAAAGAAGAAGAAAGAGGACTAACGAAAAAGACGAGGGTAGATATTACATCAGTATATAACTCAACTTACAATATTATTTAATTAAGAAGAAAATACGATATGGCATCAAAATCTCACAAACAATTATTATTTAATGTAAATATGTAAATTAAAGAGTTTATTTTTTAGGAAATTAGTAATGTGCTTCTGAGCTTTCTTCCTAGTCTTTGTGGCAAGATCATGCCAGCAACCGAATACTAGAATGTAGCAGCTGAGTACGTAAGATGTAGAAAGTACAAGGTGGGGGAATGCGATTTATTCCTCTACATGTAGAGTTCACTGTTGGTAAAATTGAGCTTTCTGTCACGTACATTGGATAAATGGAGTGTTGGATAACCGAAGGTCAGATAATCGGGACTGTATATAGTTCTTACATATTTGGTAAGGGTGGACTGACCTTTTTTAAAGAAGTGATAATCACATGAAAATACTGTAGACTGATGAGTCCCTTTAATTAACCTTTATTGGCCATGTGTTGCGATAGCATACCAGCAAACTGTTAAACTGTGGGATTGAAGTTCAACTGGGGGCCCTGTCATGTGTTTCACACCTCATACTCTTGTACGGTAGAAACTAATTACTCCACTTCTGGAATCTTCTAAAAGCTTCTAAGTATTCTTCACTTCAAGACAAATTTATTTACGTTTTAAAGCTCTGTAACCCAGTGCTGTGAAAATTAATATAAATGATTTAGTAATGTTTTACTGCATGATACTTCACAAAATGAAAATCTGTTTGCACTGGAAGAACTTGTGCCCGCTGAAGTCTGTGGACAGTTTCCTTGCAGTGTTCTGTTTAAGTCCCTTTATTACTAAGTAGGACTTAAGGTTTTCCAGTGGTGAGTCCAAGGACAGCCGTCTTCCCTTTATCACTAGTTCTCTGGAGGCTGACAAGCGGACTTGGTTAACTGAAACCCAGTTCAGCCCCAATTCTGCAACATATCAATGGGTATGGGCACTTACGCTATCAGCGATACTTCAGGTTCGGCAGCTGAGGTTCAGTTCCCAGTGAGATGATTTTTTAATCACTATGACTAATGTCCTTGGAACCTCTCAACTTTCATTTATTTTTTAACCTTACTGGAAACTGAGCTTTTTTACGGTTTTGTTGTAACCGTCTACAGTGTACTATGAAGGCGATGTTAAGTGCTCTTATTAATGTAACATGCCTTAGCTTCATCATACACTGTGACATTGTCATCAGTTCATGGAACCACTGAGTAAGTAAACAGTTTGAATTTGAAAATGCTATTTGATCATGTGTGCCGATTGCAAATGACAGTAATATTCAGTAGATCATCATTTGTATTTCAGATCTAAAGAAAACCTATATTTAACAGAATAAGAGCTTATTTATACTACTGCTTCTGTGTGAGATGATTACACTTTGTGTGGGTTGTCCGTCTATTTATACTACTATACATACTTGTGTGATATTCCAGCCTTATATGAAAATATGAAATGTGTCCATTTTCTGTAGATATGTAAAAGTGCTTTGCTTGTTACAAAAGCCAGCTGACAAACAGTTTTTGCCTCTTTGTATATGATTTCATAGATGTTATGACATGTAAAGGCTAGTGAAATGGAGATGTAATTTTTATAAAGTTTGAAGCAGTCAGAACATTTTGCACATTCATTGTGAATGTATAGATGTGTTACTGGAAATTATTAAGTTTTAATTTGATGAAATGCTGTAAGCAGTGTATATTATGTGTGCAAAATGTTTTGGTTGTGAGTGGTCTGTTCCCAACAGGCTTTCCAACCAAAGTTGCATGCCCTGTTCATCCCATCTTCCTTGATCTGATCATCCTAACATTTTCCTATTTCATCCCCTTTAGGTCCAAACATCCTCAGCCTTTCTCCCATACATAACCAGTCAAAACATAATTTTGTATATCTTTACATTATCAGTTGGGAAGACAAAATGTTCTGAGCTGCATGGTAACAAGCAAGCTATAATTTCGTCATGAATACAGTTTTGATTTGCTACTATAATTCGCAAAAAATTGAACGTATGGAGGTTGTCTATGAATATTGCAGGGCGTAAGTGCAGAGGTCGTCTGCATTGCTATTACAGACGGCATGTGTGGATGCTTCTATAGTACAAATATAGCAATGCATATGTAGGCGTCGGGATAGCCATCACACGGGTCATGTACAGAGCCTTCTTTGAAGACATTTATGTATGGAAGAGTTTAACTACGCAATGCAAACAGCTTTGAATTGAGCAGTCCATATAGCCATTACTCTAGTCATGTTCAATGCAGCATACATAACTTTCATAAAAGTCTGGTGAGCAGGCGTCTATTGCCCTTGTAGTTACCGTGTATGGAGGCATCTTCTAATCACGGATGCATCTAATCAGCAATCACACAGGTTATGTATGTAGTCAGAAAGTCGGCACTGTATCATGTCGCTGGTACATAGTGCTGCTACCTAGTAGTCGTTTTCTGCTTTATTTTGTTCGCTTTAGCGGGAATTCTTCTAGAACAGTGGTTATCAAAATGTATGTGTCTCGTACTAATTTTAAATGCACGTGAACAATGGGATTTGTCAAAGCTCGCGTTTAATTAATACTGTACGTATGCATATGAACAAGGATTTATGGTACCTATGGAAAGCATGTCTGGTACCCCAAGTGATACTGGTACCAAAGTTTGAGAAACATTGTTCCACAAGTTATACAAAAAAGATATGTTGGAGTTTATTAATATTAACAGTATTATCTTTTTGTTTGATTTTATTATACATTTTATATTGTGAGTGGTGAATAGTGTGTGTGCCTAGAAAGGATCTAAAATATGTTGAAATATACTCCAGAGGGCTGGAAGGTGAATCATACAGAGGTAAGTAATATGCATATAAGGTCTCTTGAACATGGATTTAAAGTCACAGAACAAGAAATAAGACACATAATGTCTGAATCTGATATGTCTTTTCATGATCCGTTTTGAGAAAATAGTGTATGTGCCGCTACTAAATATGTCTTCTGACCTTGATGTTGAAGCAGGCCCATTAGATCTTTAACCTATAATTTAGGCTGTACCCAGGAGAATTTTAAATCTTTGTAACTTATGAAAACAACAACATTTTCTTCTACAGTTCCTAAATGCATGCTGGTTTCCACCCAATCTTTTCAGTACTTTCTTAGTTTGCAGCAGCGGTCTTCTGACAGTCCTGGTAAGCAGAGGGAGACTGTCAGAAGGTAGTCATTCAATCTGGTAAATGAAACATAATTCTGTTCATAGTAACAGTGATGTGTATATAATTACCAGTTGAACTTTCTTTCATAGTTTCCCAAATATTAAATAATCTACGTTTCCATTTTTAAGATAGACCATAATTTATGGGCATTACAAAGCACATTATCTGCTCCCATATTGCAAGTCTTTGAGATTAATTTATAATACATGAATTAATATGAAGAGGAAAGTATAATTAGTTAATATTTTAAAGTAATTTTACATAAAATAAAATTAAAAAAATGGATCTGAAGGAAGCAGGGTAGGTTGGTGTGGATTGAATTAATCTGGCTCAGTATAAGGACCGATGGCAGACTCGTTTGAATGTGGTAATGAAGTTTTGAGTTGCATAAAAGTTAGGGAATTTTTTTATTTATTAATTCATGTGGCAGTGTGTTATTGTCAATTTCTAGGTCTGAGATTGTATTTGGGTTGTCAAATGTGAAACTGATAAGTCTCGCTCTAAAAGAATGGGTTTCTGTTTGGATCCTTTAAGACATTTTCTGAAAATATACTTATCTTAAATGATTTGGTATAGTTCACTGGTTTTGTTTACAGTCATACACAACAGAAAGACTTTATTTTTAGAATGTACACAATAATTTTATTACAATCATAGGTCAGCATTATATATTATTCACCACATGTTTTTACTCCATGTAGTCATCATTAGGTGTATTCAGAATGACTTAAACTTGAGAAGTTTGGTCCATTAGTACATTAAATTAATGAATTGCTTGCGGTTGGAAACAGTCTAGAATAAAATAGTACTTATTCTATCATCCATAATGATTACTTTGCTAAAATTTCTTTATGACGTGTCATGACCATGATGTGGTGTGAATAACACATTTGGAATGTCAGTGTACTTAAAAGTGTACACCCTTCCAATCATTATATTATCTGCTGTTCCAGTCATTTGAATGCAACGTCAAAAGAAAAATAATGTTTTGTCACTTATTAGCCTTTGAGGCTTCTTAAATACTTACACTTTTGTTAAGAATCTTTATGAAATATAGAAGTAGATGTTTTATGCAGCAGTTTTAACTGAATGTGTCATAACCAACATAAGATTTTTGAACTGTCAGTTAAACATTTTTTGCTACTTAAAGTAATATACATTTTGTTTTATTGACAATTTCTCTAAAATTAGTAGTTTATGAGAATTAAACCCACACATATGGAAACTCTTTTACCTGTTCAAAAGACTGCTGGAATCAGCAAGGAGATCACCATTGTAAACTTCTGTTAAGCTTCCTTAAGACTGATTTCCATGACACTTCCACATTTAGGTATCATAAAATCGATATTTTCCACCAAAACAGGGGAGGGATGGACAGTCAGACAGACAGACAGACATATACAAGCTACTCACTAATAAGGATCCCTTGAAAGAATCCCAGTAAAAGGTTTACGCGAATGGTAAGCTACTGCTCTTTGTATCCCATGGCATGAAGTGTCGATATTTCGACAAAAAAGCACGTCTCAAGTGATGGAAGATTAATGTTACTTTTGGTTAAATTCAGATTCACATTTGACACATCAGTTACACAGACATTGGACACGGTATTTAAAAGCACGACATTAATGTGCCAATGTGACAGAATTTCCCGACGTTTCAAAACAACCTGAAACTTTCTTAATCAGGGTTGAAATGACGGAAGAGTGGTGTGACTAGGTTTCTGTAGGAATACAGCATGCTTAAAAAAAATATATGTGTGTGTCGGTTCGGAGCACTAATTCGTCAGGACGTTGTAAGTGTTATATAATTGTGGCGCGTGATGGTCACCCATCCAAGTCAGGAAGTTCCCCCGAAACGTCGGTAAACTTACCACTTTCACATGCTCCGATATCTAGAAATCTCTACAATGATCACAGACTATCGAACAAAGCACGAAGCGTCTTTAATTACAGTTTAAAATGAATAATTTTATGAATGTGAACAATGAGTTTCATCAAATTTACTAATCATTTGACAAATTATTCGAATCCTTGCAAGGTATTACATTAATTTGAAACTGCACCCAGTTCAAATAATGCCGGAAGGACAATGTTTCCTCGTTTCTTCAGCACCGATTGTAAGAGTTCATCCATGGACGTTGTATATAAATTAATCGTGTTTGTTTGTTTGTAGAGTCTTTTGCGTTTTATTTGCACATTTGTTACTTGTTTAACAACGCCAGGTGTTTAACTTGATGTGTAACGAAAAAGGAAGCAACGGGCAGTGGACGTCACACGGTTCTTGGATTTGCAACGGTGATACCTGTAAATAAGAAACAAACAAACTGGTATCGAAACGGATTGAGTTGTTGAGTCATGGTATCAATGAATTTTTTTAGCTGGCAAACGAGGCTTTTTACTGCAACCGATTATTGTAAATAAGACTGTAACGTAATGCAATAATGCCATAATGTGACGTAAATCTACAACTTCCTTTGACACGCAAATTGTCACAATTAATATTCACTTTAATGAACAGACCAGTCGAGAGGGCGTCTCCCTGATGATGGAGGCAGAAAGCTCCTCTGAAACGTTCGCCAATTTCTACGACTCAGCATCCCGCAAGACAGCCATGCCCATACAGGCGCTATGTGAACCTGAAATTTTACCCTTGTATCAGGTTTGGAACGTACTTTATAAACGGAATTACGGGGATTTATAACCATGGATACATACAAACTAAAACACATTCCATGTTACTGATGCAGAATGTAAAAAGTTTTGAAGTCAAACAGGGTAAATGTTTGTTCCATACCAGTGTAACGATCGTGGTGAGGCGTTCTTGACGAATTGCACCTGCTCGTAATCTTGAGGAGGTATCATACATCGGCTGCATCGTATTTCTGGCCTGACTTTCCCGCAGTCGAAACGTAATACTTGAAAGATGAGTGGAATGTTTCTGCAAAGAAGGGAATATTAATAAAACATCACGCGAATAACACTTTCACAAAATAAATATCAATTTCCAATTAATACGATATTTTTACGCTGCAATAACAATTTTCCCAACTAGAAGGCGTACTCGACTGCTCTTATGGAAATGAAGTGTTTAAAATGTGAATAGTAAATGTTGTTTCGTGTTGTCGTTGCTTCGGATTTGGGTTAAGCAAATAAACCTAGCTACAAGGCCGACGTTGACTTTGGATGGAAGACGAATTCATGTCCCGACGTGTTTTGAAGCTTATTTTAGTGAAACAAACCACTTTAACATTTGTTGGTCTCTTTCGACATTTATTTAAATAATGGATGAGAAGAAGGAATTATGAACAATTACGCATGCGCACTTTTCAGTCCCTAAGGGGCATTGCGTAATGAGTGACAGCTTCAGAAAGAAACTGTTGTTATAATTGCAATACCACAGCAGAAATGCTAGAGATTTTTTTACAACGCTAAAAAATGGAAGTGGTCACTGAAAGGGTGGGTGTTGGTCTTCTGGGTTGTAACGCCAGGGGAATGAATATACGATCTTCATGTTTGGGGCTGAAAATTCGTCTGTCGCCATTTTAAGACTAACGTGAAGTGAAATAACAGTTGTTTTCTCCCCATTGTTGCGGTTTCCAGTTAAGGTGAGGAATGAGAAAACTTGTGATTGTTACGTAAGACATTCCTCACTTCCTGTTATTTGAACAACCCGCACGCGGAATTGATTAAATGGTAACAGAGTCAAGACGTTAACGTAGTTCTGACATTCGTGACTAGGTGGCGAACATGTTCATAATTTAACATTTACGACACACAACTACAAGTTCCGTCGCATGTCGCATCTCTTAAAACATTTTCCGAATTTGTCTGACTTGTTTGGGAGGTACCCGGTTCCAATTCCCGACAGGTCACCGGCTCTTCTGACACAGAAGTTCGCAGTTCTCCAGTAGTTCTTTCGATAGGTCACGATAACTTACTTATCGATTATTTCATGTAGCGTCGCTTCACACGACATCAGAAGCTTTCAGCAGTTGATACAAAGTCTTTGAATACCGACGTCAAACGAACCTAAGGACTTCTAGATGTCATTATGTCAACAGTAGCAATAACACGTTTGCCCACTGTCAGATTCTCATTAATGCTGGAATTTATTATGTGCATGTTCGTTGTTTTTGGTTTACGTTTCGCGTCTGATCTAACACGTACACGTGGTCAGTCCTCTGTAACCCTAACCATTAATTCGCCAGGTGTTTATTCACGTGCACGGGCGAAGAATTTCGTTCGTCTGTGTGCCACCAGCTGCTTTGACAGGCGTGGTATTGTTCTGGTTTAATTGTAAAATAATTAACTTGATAGACTACAGATGTATGAGTGCTTACAGGGAAATTTATTACTAATTTAGAGGCGCCTAATGTCAAAATAATTGAACTGATTTTATAGGCGAGCTTGTATAGATGAAATTACGTGTCAGATGCCACAAAGGAACACGGAAACATTGCATTCCGTCGTGGAGTACAACACATTTTACACGTGTACAGTTTGCAATTTGACACACGCGATAATCGATAATAATGTTGTCACACTGCATATAAACGTTATTTCTCATATTTTGTTGAATACGCGTCTGAGATTTAGAACTCTTAATCTCAGAATTGAGGATGTAGCTTCACGC